ACGATTATAACAAGAAACCCGCAAAATAGTATAGGTATCTACCTGCTGCGGCTTCATTCGGCTTCCTGTGAGACTCCATCCTAAACCCTAAACCCTACACCCCTAAACCCTAAACCCCGACTAAACCCCTAAACCCTAACCCCTAAACCCCTAAACCCTGAACCCCTAAACCCTAAACCCCTAGTGCCAGGAGAACTCATCAAGATTCCCGCGAAACTCATCGTCCCCAACAGGAGAAGCGTCCACAGAGAAAGCCTCCATGAGGGTGACATATAAAGTCTAACGAACAGATGAGCCCATTGAAAACCTCACATAAAATCCCAGATAAAGACCATAGAAATCCCATAAGAGTACGTTGCGAATCGCTGGCTTGTTCCAAACTTCAATCTTGGATCATTTCCACTAAAGCTCGCGGAAACCTGACAAAGGACACTTTATAGAAACCCCTACAAAAAAAAAACGTACAGGAACCCTCTACGGGCCCCAAACCCCTTCTGCCTTGGCTTCTCCGCTGGAGTCGAGTCGGCTGCCGGCTGCTGCTGGCCCACGACGCAGATGATCCCCGCAACTAAGGGTCCGACGTCTCATCGTCTCGGGATGCCAAAGTTTAGGGCCTTTAGGGTTTAGGGTTCAGGGTTTGCAGTTATTTAAAACAGAGCAGCGGCTTGAGATCTCGGCAGTCAGTAGCACTGCAAAAAAGATCGCAGAGTTATAGGCGAAGTTCACTCCTTCACATCAGACTTGGAGTGGCTCGCTGCAGCCTTGCAAAGCGCCGCAGAATGCCTCTCAAACGTTCGTCCTTCTCCCCTCCAACAGAGGAAAGAACGAGAGAACTATGGCATGCCATGGCGCTCTACTCGCGAGAGCTTCAGAGTCAAAACGTCGGTGGCTCGCTTGACACCCTCCAGGTGTCAGGGCCAGCCGGTCAAGAGGGCGCACCATGGTGCACACCAAGGGGGCGTCTTCGCCATGTTCGCTATGGGAACCACAAGCCGCTCAAGCGTCCGGGGAAATCGCGGGGTTGGCGCCCTCACATTGCATCCCGAGCGAAATGAGTCTCTCAATAAGATACCAGCTTGAAAACAAACACAAGCAACAGCCAATAGTGACTGAGATAAACAACGCAACCTGCGAGCGGCTTGGCGGCCAAAGAGCCGGAAATCAATTTAGAGAATCTTTCAAAAGTTAGCGCGCACTCAGAGCTGAAAGGCTCCGCCTTTCTTGCGTGACTGTTTGACAGGCTTTGTATCTTCCAAAAGTCTGAAATAGTTCCTTACCTTGGGTTAGTAGGGAATGGAGGAATGGGGTACAATTATAACTGCTATTGTTTCTACCATTCTTCCATTCCCTACTAACCAAAGGTAAGGTACTGGGCCGCTGTTGCTCGTTGAGCATACGGCATACTGTGCGTCCGATGATTACCACTAGCTTTTGGCATCAGCATCACTGACGCCAGCATGGCAGCACCTCCACGAGCCAGATTGAGAAAAGGGTTCAGGTTTTTTAGGCTTCAGCGGGTTTGGGGTTAAGGGTTTAGGGTTTGGGGTTTAGGGTTAAGGGGGGGGTTTAGGGTTACGGAAAAGATCAACACAAAAGCAGCTTGCAGGGTTGCCGACTCCAAGTTTAATCCTAAACCCACACGTGAGAAGGGCCCTAAACCCTACTTGGAGGATCATGGGACTTAGTAAGTAAGGTTATAGGTACCCTAATTGGAGTTATAAGTATAGTTACCTTATTTATAACCCTGGTTACTAAGTCCCATGATCCTCCAAGTAAACCCTACAGATCCCTTATGGATCCCTTTAAAGGAACCCTTCTAGATCCCTTTGAGAAACCCCTAGCAGCGCGGTCGGCAAGCCCAGGCTAGTGAAGCACCAGGTTGAGAGCATAGGGTCTTTCCCAGAGCCTCCAAAACCCTTTAAATAAGGAATATACCTTAGATCTTATTAGGGATCCTATCATAGTTTAAGGTATATTCCTTAATCCCCTTATGGAGCCCCCATAGATCCCTTTGAGGAGGAGGTTTTTAAGGAGCCCTAGGTTTAAGGTATATTCCTTAATTCAAGGGCTTTGGAGGGTCAGGGTTTTTGGCTTTGGTATTACCTGGCAGAGTTGGGTCTCGGACCAAAAGCCCTCAGATATTCTTTTAGGGTTTAGGGGTTTAGGGGTTTAGGGGTTTGGGGGTTTAGAGGTTTAGGGGTTTAGGGGTTTAGGGGTTTGGGGGTTTAGAGGTTTAGGGGTTTAGGGGTTAGGGTTCAGGGGTTTAGGGGTTTAGGGGTTTGGGGTTTAGGCGTTTTAGGGTTTGGGGTTCAGGGTTCAGGGTTTAAGGGGTCATGCGTCAGCATTGCAGCTCCGCAAAGGATGGCGAAGCAAACTGCAGGGTCGGGTCCCCAGAGACTCCAATATCCCTTAATTAAGGAATATACCTTAAATTTTAGAGGCCTTAATACTATGATTCAATGTATATCCCTTAATTAAGGAATATTCCTGAAAATATAGAGGCCTTAATACTATGATTTAATGTATATCCCTTAATTAAGGGATATACCTCAAATTATAGAGGCCTTAATACTATGATTTAATGTATATCCCTTATTTAAGGAATATTCCTTAAATTATAGAGGCCTTAATACTATGATTTAAGGTATACCCCTTAATTAAGGAATATTCCTTAAATTGTAGAGGCCTTCATACTATGATTTAATGTATATCCATAAATTAAGGAATATACCTTAAATTATAGAGGCCTTAATACTATGATTCAATGTATATCCTTTAATTAAGGAATATTCCTTAAAATATAGAGGCCTTAATACTATGATTTAATGTATATCCCTTAATTAAGGGATATACCTCAAATTATAGAGGCCTTAATACTATGATTTAATGTATATCCCTTAATTAAGGAATATTCCTTAAATTATAGAGGCCTTAATACTATGATTTAAGGTATATCCTTTAATTAAGGAATATTCCTTAAATTACGGTAGGATCCCTTATCTGATTTAAGGTATATTCCTTAATTAAGGGGTTTTGGAGTATCTGGGTCGGAAAGCGCGATCAGTTAGACACCATGGAAGTGGCACAAAAAGGGTTCCTTTAAAAGGTACTATAAGGGTTCCTTTAAGGGGTACTATAAAGGTTCCTTCAAAGGGTACTATAAGGGTACTATAAGTGTTTTGGGGGTTTGCTATAGGAACCGGATTAAGAAACGTTAGGTCTTTATTAGGGCTCCTGATAAGAGTCCTAGTATTTTGGGGCTATAGGGCCAGGGTTTCTTAATCAAGTTCCTACGTTACTGTGGAACCCTGGCCAAACAACGAATCGAATCTAAAGAAACTCGAAAACCCTCAAACCTTGATAGGACCCCCAAATCCTCAACCACCCCGCCAGAGCTGCCTAAGAACATGCAGTTCTATAAAGCCCTAAACCCTAAACCCTATGGGTGGTTGTCAAGATTATTGTCCCTTTTTGGGTCCATAATATCATACGGCACCTACTGTTTAGGGTAACCAGAAAGAGACCCTCATTTTGACAACCACCCCTACCAAGCTCTATCAGGCCCACGTTCAAGGGCTGCCTGCCACTGCAGCTTCAGAGCTTCAGGGTCTTGGCAGAGTAGCGGGTCCAATCTGCGCCGCGGGGATCGTCTTCAGGCTTTGGGTTTCTTAGGGCTTTGTTAAGGGATATGATAGGGTTCCTTCAAAGGGATACCATAGCTACCATGGGGACCTCTAGGCGGCTGTCGAACCGTCGCTTAGGGCTTAATGCCTCCCTCCTTGTTAAAGGACATTTAAAGGAGAGAAGAAAACTCCATGCCGTGCAGCCGAGGGGCGGCACAGGTGGCAGTGGGTGCAGTTGTCTCCGTCCTTGCAACCTCGCGATTTCAGCACCTTGCCAGCCGCACAAGCATCGATTATCGGAAGCAGGCGACCGAAGCACTGAATCGAATTGCCGCGTGGCATACTTGCAGGCTGGCCCACAACCTCAGCAGGTTTAGACTACTCGCACGTACTGCTTCGCAGATGGCCGAAGCCTCTCAGTATCGAGCTGTATGGATGACCCAATGAGCCCGGGTTCATCGCCAGTGGCCTTCAGTGTGCATCGCATGTTGCGGAGTCGGCATCGATACGAGCATTAGGTCTGCCGGAGGCCGCTCGGAACCGGAATACCCAGAGAACCCAATACCCCTTAATTAAGGAATATACCTTAAATTATAGAGGCCTTACTACTATGATTTAAGCTATCTTCCTTAATTAAGGGGTATTTTGGGAACTCTGGGTACCTGCCGCCTCTCTTTTTGAGGGCACCGCATCTCCAGGCCCGGAGGCGCGAATCCTGGCTTGAGACGGTCACTGCAAGCTACAGCCGAAAACAACCCTAAACCCTAGACATCCCCAAACCCAAAAACTGTCTGATTCTTAGTAGGGAATGGGGGGATGGGTTATAGAGACTACCATTGGGGATTATATAGGGACTACTCTAGGGATCCATTCCTGCATTCCCGACTAAGCCCCAGACAGAGAATGGGGCACCCTGAAACGGCAGGTCTTTTCGGCCTGTTTTAAGACATGATATGGGTAGTTCTCTAAATTTAAATTAGGGTCCCTTTTTGGGTACCCTGAATATTAGGTGCCGTATTGTACTAGCGATTCAAAAAGGGACCGGAAATTTGACAACCACCCATATGTAGAAACCATAACAAGGAACCCCCTAAAACGGCAGGTGTTTTAGGCCGCGGGTAGAGGAGGCGAGGATGCAGCGGCCGGCCTTCCATGCCCGGAGGGGAGCCTTTCAGCGGAGGCCGCTAGGGTTCAGCGTTCAGGGTTTAGGGACTTCGGGTTCAAGCTTAGGGACTTCGGGTTCAAGGTTCAGGATTGAACGGCATGTTCGTCGATCATTGTACCTGCATGCTAGCAGCTGCAAGTAGCTGGCTCTATCTCACTCTATCTCGCTTATCTCTGCCAAAATCTTCGCACCAAGTCGAAGAACCAAAGCTGCTACTCATGAATGGTTTCCTTGACATTACTCGCCAAGGTGCCCATGGAGAAGCCAAGCACGTCCGGGGCGGGATAGGAGTCCTTGCGAGAGTCTTAAGACATGACAGGACTAAGATGCAAACCCTAAACCTAAACCCTAAACCCTAAACCGTGGCTCAACAAGTCCTGCTGCATCGGAGTCAGCAGCGAGCACGCCTGCAGAGTCGAAAAAAACATGGGGCCAGCTTGCGCTCACTGGATCACCCAAGGAGGCGATCCAACAGTGCTCCTTAAGGGTTATGTGCAGATCTCTTCGATACTATACTACGTCATACTATACTATACTGTACAACTCTATACTACGTTCTGCCATACTATACAACCTTATACCATATAGTACTATGTTATACTTATACTATACTCTACTCTACTATACTATGCAATATTATAATATACCATTCTTTACTATACTGTACTATGTTATACTATAATACACCATATTATACTCTATTATACTGTATATATATATATATATATATATATATATATATATATTACACTATATTATACTATACTGTACTATACTATACTATATTATACTATATTTTACTGTATTATACTATCTTATACTATAATATGCCATGTTATACTATATTATACCATATTATACTATATTATACTACATTATACTATATTATACTATATCATACTACATTATACTACATTATACTATATTACTCTCTATTATACTTTATTATACTATATTACACCAATTTTTACTATATTAGACTATATTACACTTTCCTTGGCGCCTCGGTGGAGGTGGAGAGAAGTCGCGTGAACTTGAGCGTGAGATCCTCCTCGGTCGAGACGAAGACAGGCCTCGAAGCAGAAAGCCAAGTAGTTTTTGATCTACAAGGGATCCTTAGGGGCTTAGGGTTTAGGGTTTAGGGTTCCTTCAAGGATCATGGGACTTAGGGTTCCTTGAAGGGTTCCTGAAGGAGCTCCTTTGAAAGGGTTCTATGAGGGTCTATAGGGGTTTAGGGTTTAGGGTCTACCTGGAGGATTATGGGACTTAGTAACTAGGGGTAGAAATAAGGTGACTATATTTATAACTCCAGCTAGGGTACCTATTACCTGACTTACTAAGTACCATGATCCTCCAAGTAGTAAAGCATCTTAAGGTATAGTGTAGTCTAGTCTAGTATAGCATGGTATGGTGAAGTATCTAGTCTAGTATAGTACTGCATAGTATGGTATGGTATACTTTACTACAGTATAGTATAGTCTATTTTAAGATCGTATAGTTTACAGTTTTGTGTAGTACAGTTATGATGTGAAGTTAGAGCCCTCAGCTGATTTTCTGGCCTCGCTCGAACGGCTTCCTCAGCCTCCTTGGCCTGCAGAGAGGACACCGACAAAGACAGTTCCGGCGAAGCTCGGCTGGGTCTAGGGTCTGGGGGTTTAGGGTCTGGGGGTTCAGGGGTTTAGGGGTTTGGGGTTTAAGGGTTGGGGTTTTAGGGTCTAGGCTTTAGGGCTACATCCCCGAGATGTGCGATCATCTACATGACAAAAGCCCATCTGCGTGTATCTTCGGCTGGTGATGCACATGCAGCGCAAGATAGCAGCAACAGCAGAGATGTGGCCTGGTCATCGCTCCTTGCAAAAACTGCGAGAAACTGGAAAGAAAATCTCGTCCTCTTAACTCCAAGAACTGATCATGCTGAAGTTCACCAGACTTCCCTGTTGCGTCCAGCCAACATGTGGTGCAAGCTCCAGCTCAACCCTAAACCCTAGACTCTAGACCCTAAGCCCCTAAGCCCTAGACCGAGCAACCGCGTAAATCCCCACCCCCCGTCCTCTTCTCGCCGTCCTTCGAAGATGTCTTGGACCAGAAGCATTCATGGCCTAGGGACATTGGGTCTCGGAGTTAGGGGTTCAAGGTTCAGGGGCTCAGAACCTAAAAGCCATACCCCGTGGCCTAAATCCCTAAACCTGCAACCCCAAACTCCGAAATCCTGCTTGAAACCCTCAACCCTACAACCCAAAAGCCTAAAAATCCCAAACCTGTCATGACAGGTGAAGACTTTTGCTCGTCGCCAGCAAGCCTGCGCCGTCGGAGCAGAAATTGCGAGTCTCGCTAGAACTGATGTGGTGCTTAGAATGCGTATTCTGAAACGAGTTGTTATCGCAATTGTTACTTGTTTAGTTGGTTGTATTGTCATTCATGGTTCGTCGTCGTAGAAATAGTAGTAGCAGCAGCAGCAGGGTAAGTGGAAGTCGTAGGGGCAATGGTCGTGGTGGTCGTCGTAGAGGTCGTAGTAGTGGTGGTGGTGGTGGTGGTGGTGGTGGTGGTGGTGGTGGTGGTAGTGGTGGTAGTGGTAGCAGTGGTAGTAGTGGTAGTAGTGGTGGTAGTGGCCATAGTGGTCGTAATGGTGCAAGTAGTAGTGATAATGGTAGTGGTGGTAGTAGCGGTAGTAGTGGTCGTAGTGGTAGTAGTGGCAGTGATGGTAGTAGTGGTAGGCGACAGCCTGCTCCTGTGACCCCCCTCTCGCCTCTTTTGTCACATGCGGTATCCGTTTCAGCGCATCTGTCTCTGCGCCAATGCACATTGCTTTGTTGCCCGGCTTGCTCCTATTACGTAAAGCTTTCTTCTTACATAGGGTTTTCCGGTTAGATAGGGTCCTATCCTTAGATAGGGTTGTCCTGTTCGGTAGGGTTTTACTACTAGGTAGGCTTTACTTTGAGATAGGGTTTTACTATTAGATAGGATTTTACTATTGGATAAGGTTTTCCTATTAGATAGGGTTTTAATGTTAGATACGGTTTTCCTATTAGACAAGGGCTTACTATTAGATTGGGTTTTCCTCTGACACAATGGTGAAGGGAGTTCTCCTTTAAAATGGCTTGGCTTGGCTTGGCTTGGTTTGGCTTGGCTTGGCTTTGGTAGCCGTCCCGCCTGCTTTCTAAAGTAGCAGTAGCTTCTTCGCAGTAGCATAGTACTCCACTGCCTGCCCTCTACACTAGTAGTAATACTCCACTGCCTGCCCCCCTAAAAATAGTAGTAGTCGCCCGCCTGCTCCTCCAAAGTAGCAGTGGTCGCCCGTCTGCTCTTCTAAAGTAGTAATAGTAGTAGTAGTCGTCGTCGTCGTCGTCGTAGTAGTAGTAGTAGTACTAGTCGCCGGCCCGCTCCTCTAAAGTGGTCGTAATTCTCAGCTTCTTGGTGCTGTAGGGCCAGATAAGGGGGTCAGAGGAGCAGGCTGTCGCCTGGTGGTAGTGGCGGCAGTAGTAGTAGTAGTAGTAGTAGTAGTAGTAGTAGCAGTAGTAGTACTTCATTTCATTCTTCTTGTTTATGATTCTCGAGGTTATCAGAGATAACGCTGCAATGCAGCCGGGCTCTTTCGAGCTTGCTCGCTAGCACGCGAGGCGGATCCCTGGACGTTCGTCGCGAATGGAAGGAAGGAAGGAAGCAGTAGTAGTACTGGTAGTACTAGTAGTAGTAGTAGTAGTAGTAGTAGTAGTAGTAGTAGTAGTAGTGGTAGTAGTCGTAGTAGTAGTAGTAGTAGTAGCAGTAGCAGTAGCAGTAGCAATAACAATAATTATAGTAGCAGTCGTAGTAGTAGTAGTCGTAGTCGTGATAATAATAATAATAATAGTAGTAGTAGTAGTAATAGTAGTAGTTGCTGTTGTTGTTGGTGGGATGGTGCGATGCCTTTGCTGGCTTGTGCTGAAACTCGAGTTTTGGCACTTTGCTCACCCGGAATTGAACTTGCGTTCTATTTTCGCATCGGTTTTTGCAGTGTTTCCAGCAAAAAACATGCAACAGCCGGCGGGCTGTACTGTACAAAAACATGATCAGCTCTCCATTTCGCATCGTGTTTTTGGGTGTTTTCCTGTGTGTGGCGTTTCGCATCGGCGTTTACAGAATTTTTGACCGGCTCTCGACTTTCTGCATATGCCGGCTTCGACTTGCATTTGTCTTTCATCTGCATGGGGGGATGGGGGGGGGGGGATTGGGGGGGTGATGACGTCCATGCGAATGCGACGTGTGTCTTCTGTTTCTTTTGTTGCTTCCTATGTGTGTCGCATTTCGCATCGGCTTTTACAGCGTTTTCGCCGACTCTCGACTTTTGCATGCCAGCTTAGACTTACATTTGTCTTTCAGCTCTGTGCGGGGGTGGAGGGGGGGATGGGGGGGGTGGTGATGACGTCCATGCGAATCCGGCTTGCATCTTCGGTTTCTTTTGTTGCGTTACTTCTCAAACTCTGCTGGTTGCTCTTTGATGCCCTTGTTGCCGCTTCTTGTTGCTTCACTTTTGAAACGTCAACCACGCAACCTCTCCAAACAAAAACTTCGCATCGAACCATAAAAAATCAACAAAAAGAAAAGACTAAAAGCATGGTATTTGCGCAAAAACGTAACCAAAAAACAGGACCAAAAACTATAGAAAAAAACGAAACGTCGTCGAGTCTTGTTGACGAAAACCACACAAGACTCAGGGTTTTCAAGCTTTTGACCAAAAAACCTCCCAAAGATAAACGACACACCCCGTGCGGCGGCAGACGCACGCACTGCATTGTTGTTGTTGTTGTTGTACTAGTACCGTTACTAACACTATCTAGTAGTGCTAGTACTCCCAGTAGTGGCAGCAGTACTAGTAGCAGTGCTGGTATTCTTATAATTATCATTCTTGTGTGAAGTTTCATCAACGCCCTCACCAGCCCTTTTCATCTAATCTTGGGGCCCAGACAGAGAAGGCAGTTTGCGCCATCTCGGCAGCCACCCTGAGCAAATGCACTTTTGAAGTCTTGCTGCCCTGGGATCTCCCGGGTTCCACCTTGCGCTTCACGTACTTGCAGGCTGCTGCGCAGGTAAAGGGATGGCCCACTGATCCTGAGGAACCAAGTGCTGATTCTTGTTGCTATGGTTCTGGACACTGCTATTACAGTTATTGCTAGTTCTACTGCTACTCTTCTTCTCTTACTTACTCTTAGTCTGAGTTCTAGTCTCAGTCTTGGTCTTTGTCTTGGCCTGAGTCTTAGTCTGAGTATTATTGTGCATTCTAACTAGTAGTGGTAGTAGTAGTGATAGTAGTAGTAGTAGTAGTAGTAGTAGTAGTAGTACTACTACTACTACTACTACCACCACTACGGCGACGACGACGACGACTACTACTACTACTACGAGCATCATTACCGTTATTGCATCTATTACACTTAGTATTCTTCCATATCATTATTTCTGATGTCGTCGCTGTTGTTGCTGCTATTGTTGCTTGTGTTGCTGATGGGGTTGCAGTCGTTGTTGGTGTTGTTGCTGCTGCTGTTATTGGTGGTGGTGCTGGTGCTGGTGCTGATGGTGTGGTGTGTGGGTGGCTGTTGCTGTTGCTGCTGCTGTTGCTGCTATAGCCGCTGTTGTTGCTGTTGCTGTTGATGCTGTTGTCTCTATTGTTGCTGGTGTTGCTGTTGCTGCTGTTGCTGCTGTTGTTGCTTTAGTTGCTTTTGTTGCTTTTGTTGCTTGTGTTGCTTTTGTTGCTAGTGCCACTGTTGTTGCTGTTGTTCCTCTTGGTGCTGCTGCTGCTGTTGTTGCTCTTGCTCTTGCTCTTGCGGTTGCGGTTGGTTGCTGTCGCTGTTGCAGCTATGTGACTCTTGCTATCTTTGCAGTGCTTGTTAGCGCCATTGCTGGTACAGACTTTCGGTTATTTTAGGAAACGGAGCAACGAAAGGCGAAGCCCAGAAGTCCTTTCGAAATGACGACGTTGGCCCTGTCGGGGATGGGGCGGAAACGAGGATCCTGGCACATGGCTGAGCACAAGGAAGCTGAGGGTTTAGGGGCGTAGCGTTCTGGGTCTGGGCTGTTTTCTCTCTCTGCTCGTTTTTTCTGTCGGTCCTTCTTTCTTGCTTGCCTTTGTCATGCCGCTTTCAGGGGCTGTTGTCCCGTCCTCGGACCTATTGGCCCGTCCACCCGATGTTTTTACTGAGTGAACTGTCTTGCGACTGGAAAGATGAAAGTTGTTCTCCAGAACTCCCTTCCCTCTGTCTCGCTCTCGCCCAACAGCCTGCCTTTGCTGGCCGCTGCACGGAATGTGGCGTGGGTGGAGGTAGCAGCATGGGCCTCAGGCATCTCAGTCGCCAGGCGAAATGCGGAGGTCAGCCGGCAGGAAGATGAGATGCAGAACTACGCAAAACCTGCGGCTAATTCCACATCGTGGGCCTCTGGTTTGAAAGCAATGCCAAGAGCACGCAACGACTAAGGACGTCTTCCGCCAGCTCCGCACTCCCCTGGGCAAAGTGCTCCACGGCAGGAGTTTCTTGTGGCAGTGGCACCTGGCGCAGACGCTTTTCATTGAATTGGCTCCCGTGGAGATTGCTAGTCTCTCGAGTCTAGACTCCCGCCACGGCGAGAACGGCTGCATCTCATAGCAGCGCACGATTTCCGGCCCGGGCCTTCACGAAGTCGCTGCCTAAGTTCATCTTCTCACCGGAGATATGGCCAGGAACAATGCGAGCTTCCTTTCCCAGGCGCACAAAAGCAGCAGTCAGGGAGTTCTTCCGGAGCGCTGCTGCTCTCATATCCAAACCCTAACTAAGCCCTCTTTTCATAACCAAAACCCTAAACCCTGAACCCCAAACCCTAAAGCCTCCACCCTCTCACTAAACCCTAAAGGAACCATCAGCTCAAAACAGCAAAAGGAAGAAGACCCCCCTAAACCCTAAACCCTAAACCCCGGAGAGCAAGTCAAGGCCCCGGAACCCTAAGGCGGCAAGGAGGATACGGATTGCTGCCTTTCATCTTCAAGCCCCGTGATCCTCTCTAAGTATACGATACTATAGGGTTCAGGGTTTAGGGGTTTAGGGTTTAGGGTTATGTGGATACTATATTATACCATATTACCTCTGCATAATTTTGGACTTCTGCCTCCATCTTCAAGAACATCTGCTCTTGCAGTTGCTGCAGCTTGCTGTTCAAGGCCTCAGTTTCTGGAGTGGACGGCTCAGAGGGTTTAAGGGTTAGGGGTGGGAGTTTCGGGCTCAGAGGGTTTAGGGGTTAGGGGTTAGGGTTTAGGGTTTAGAGGTTGGGGTTTAGGGGAGGTTGGACAGGGCTCGTGAGGGTTTAGGGCTTCGGGCTCGTGGGATTTAGGGTTCATGGGGTGTGGGGCTCATAGGACTTAGGGCTCGTGCGATTCATGTAGAAGCAGCCTACCCATAAGTCGGACGCGGTCGTGCACCGATATGGAATGCGTGCGACAGAAAGGTCTCTCCAAGAACTTGGCTACAAGGACCCGAGTCATGAACGGGGTTCTAGGGTTCTAGGGTTTAGGATCTTGGAAGAGGCTTGCTCTCAGTCGGTTGGGAAACGAGATCTGGGACTCTCACGTCCGCCATGACCCCATCCATCTGCCCAGCACCTGCAATAGGGCCCCAAAAAAACACATAAGCAAAAATTAGCATAGGGATATCCCATAATGTCAGATATCCGCATGAAAATGGCACACCAAAAGCACCATGCGATCAAGCCCTCTTTTGCATGGTGGATTGGTGTGGCTGCCGACTCCCGGGATATTCCTTCGGTCGAAGACCTCAGACTTTTGAAGAGGCCGTTTCAAGCAAAGGAGGGTCCCCTCCTTCAGGGCCTACGGCACCTGGGATCGGGAACCCTCCTTGTACAGAAAAGAGAGTTCCAAAATTTTGTGCCGTCCAGAAAGAAGCCTGTACAGGAGGCAGCCACATCCTCACCGGGCACCCTGCGCGGGTCCATGGGTGAGGTCAGATGGGTCATCGAAAATACGATCTTCCAAAATAGAACGAATGAGGGAAAAATGCTTGAGCACGGGTTCCACCGGCAAGCAGAGAGATGGAGTGAAATCTTGAAAGTTGGGATGAGTCAGATCATCAGCCCACGTGTTGAAGTCACGCTTGACGTGCGAGGGAGCAAGCTGCATCCCGTTCCGGTGCAGTTGGTACAAAACCTCCATGAGGATGACAGATGTTGGCATCCTCTTGGACTTATCGTTCAGGAGCGAGTACACATTCCCTTGGTTGTCGCTGACCAGGGGAAGCCAGCCTGAGGTTCGGGATGAACGCAGGCGCCTTTTCCATGAGAAAGTGAGAGAGGATCAGAGTGCCGAACATCTCAAGGGCAGCAATGCGCTTTTTCGGGCAGCCCTTGTCAAAAGCCCATGGATGTCGCTCTTCGGTGACCTGGTAGTGGAACCAGAAGACTTCCGACTTGGACGGGGAGTCCACGTTGGAAAGCCAGCCGCCCACATAGGCGCTGCCATCATCAGAAGCGCTAGCATCACTTGCCCCCGACCAAATGGCGAGCGGGGCATACGGCGACGCTTGTCGGAACTTCTGATCAAAAAGGGAGAGCAGGAGAGCCGAGAGTGCACGGATAAGCTTGCCAGGACGTCCTGCAGTCTGGCAGGCCTTAGTAAGGGGGCAGGCCGTTGTCGCCCACTGCAGCCTACCCAAGGCACTAGCGATCTGAGATGCCGACATGACCTTACCGCTTTTGAGCTCTCCAAGGATGCCAATGACAAGCAGGTGCTTGTCTCGGGCCATCTACACACAGGGTCCTTTAGGGTCAATGACAAAGCCAAGCCAAGTATTAACCTCAGCGAGCAAGGTTTTCTTCCAGCTCAGAGGAGTGCCGAGAGCAAGCAGCAGCAGGCAAATTGCCGTCGCCAACAGGGGGGAGTTCGATTTACGGAGCAGCCAGGCAAAATCGTCGACAAAAACGAAACCCCAGTCGACCTCAGGAAACACGGCATACACAATCCTTAGGAGGATAGCAGCCATCCTTCCCAATAGAGCTGGGCACTGGCCATCCCATATGTGCCTACGGTGTTGACCCACCATTCCTCACCAAGTTGAGCCACTTGGTAACGCCACTCTCGAAGGAGGATCTTGATTCTCCTGTGCGCCTTAGTCACGTCAGCTTTGAGTAGAATCCAATCATCGTCGGAGCCAGGAAAACACCAGGGTCGGCCGGAGCCAGCGCTGGAGTCTTCCTTATCAGAGGGTCTGTCCCGTTCCAAGTTTGCCGCACCAGGGGCGGTTTCACGGGGCCCAGAGGTATCCGTGGTCTCCTGTTTCCCGGGCTCAGGGCCATAGGCGCCTGGATTCCCCCGAGAACGTGATGCCCGAAGCCAGTGTAAGCACTGGACACAGTCCATGACAGTCGGAGCCGTGGTTTTCTCCACTGTGTTCTGTTGGATACGGAGATTAGCACCGCCCTTGGATCCATCAAAGATGGAACGGATCTTGTCCGACTCATCAATCCCCGCCATGGGGCAGGGGCAGAGCTCTTCCTCCGTGCACTGGCAGTGCGCTGCTGCTTCGGCGCGTGTGCATGGTCCGATGACCATACCCAGTGGAGTTTCTTCCACGAAGGTAGCACGAATCTCCTCACTAAAGGTGTTAGCGGAGGAGTAGTTTGCATGGCCTGTGGGGGGTGGCGCTTCCACCGGGTCCCACTCTTCGCCGATGAGCTCAGATTTCAGAGGCTACACGCCCGGAGATTGGAGAGTAGGAGTGTCCACTCCCAGAGGGACTCCTTCCTTGAGTATCATCGGGTACTCAGCATCGACATCTTGGATGTCGCACAGGAGTTTTCTGATAACATCCAAGTGGAAGGGCTGTCCTGCATCCGGGCTGGGGATGCTGAGGCAAGATAAAATCCCGAATTTCCCTGAGAACCGAATCCGGGAAAGGGTGTGTCTTGGCCCGCAGCCGTGGAGGCTATGAAAGAGGGGACCAGGGGCCCGGCCTTTTCTCGGATAAACTTACCCAGAGCAGGAGCCGTCGGACCATTACGTAGGTGCGGGGGAATCCTACCGGGGGAGGTCTTACCGCCTCCGTCCCTCAGGGGCCTAACCTTAAAACCATGGGCCACTCTCATTGTGGCATCGTCTAAGGTAAGCTTCTCGTAGAGCGGTAGCGTCGAAGGGCGATCAGACCCAATCGGAGGGGTCGCAGCATGCAAATGATCGCCTGCATGGGTACCTGCACTCGGAGACCCAGCATCATGACGCTTCCCTCCCAGCGAGGGTAGGGAGGGTTGAACAGCCGCCCCACAGGGCGCTGACCCTTGAGCCGTCCAGTGAGGACGCTCTTGTCCCAGCGAGGGAACTCTGGCGAATCCACCATCGGGGGGACCGCGTTGCGAAGCATTCCGGCCAGCGCCGACTTTGTAACATGGCTTCTGGTCGCCTAACGTCCCCCGGCACGGGACGATCAGATTTGGGGCGATGAGCATGTGTACAGGTCCTTCCCTCCCAGGATTGGAGGGGAAGGTTCGTGACCGCTCTAGAGGGACGACTAACAACCCAACCAAAAGAACAGAGATCAAAATGAAGCACCTCCAGGCCAAGGTCAAGGGTCCAAGCGCGCAGGGCCGGAGTGGCCCAAGCCGAAGAGGAGCGTCTCTTGGATGGGGAAATAGCTCCTCGAGCCGGATCTTCAGCCATCTCCAGGAAGCAAAAGACCTTAGGGGCGGCACGGGGCGAGGTCGCCTTGAAGGCGAACCAAGCAGGCGAGCCAAGCAAGCAGAAGGAACCTAAGGAGCAGGGTGCTTTCCTCATCTGCCAAGTGCAAGGTCTCCTCAGGGAGAGCGGCTAAGCCCCAGGCATTCTCTGCGGATCCACCTATCTAAACCCCATGTTTTGAGATCCGGGCATCCTCCCACAAAGGAGACGCGTCCTTGCAGCGCCGAGACACAGAGCGACCCGAACAGGGTGTCATTAAGGAGATCCTGACCGGAGGGTTTTCTAGAGGAGTCCAAGGACAGAACTCTCGGGGAGAGTTCTGGGGCTTGGGAGCGGAGGATCGCTTCCAGAGGGAGGCATCCTCCCGACCGAGGTGCTGGCAGTGCACACAGAGAGAGACCATTGGAGTCTCCGGACCAGGGGGTCAGGGACTCCTTTTAGCCATTCAGGGGAGCAATCTGCAGGCAGAGTGCCCGGGTAATGCTTCTCAATCCAAAGCCCAAGAGAGAAGGGCTTGTCATCCGAGGGAGCACTACTGGAGGGCTGCAGACCCCCATGTATGGGGTCCCCACCTGGCGAGGAGACAGGCTTCCCCCGACGGGATCGCGATCTGTCCCGTGCTTGTTCCCGATCAGGGCCATGGGCACCTGATGTGGAGGGGGCAACATGCGTCACCGCCTCCAACAGTTCTCCTCGTTCAGGGCCGAAGGCACCTGGGACTGGAAGTCCTCACTTGTAGGGACAGTTGTCCGGGCTATGCTCATTCGGAGGGGCATTGCACACCCAGCCATCCTTGGTGACAGGGCAGTTGTGGGAGCGCCCACAGTTGCCGGGACACTGCTTCTTGATGTGATAATCTCTGCAAAAGGGGGTGCCCTTCGGATTGTTCCTGGACCAATTCTGGGGCCAGGTATCCTTGCCCTTGCCCTTGGGGCTGCCCTTCTTGCCTTCTTTGCCCTTAGTCGAATGCTTGAGAAAAGGCTGGTACACCGGCAAGGCTTGCTTACCTTTCCAGGAGCCTTTGCCCGGCCACTTTGCAAAGGGGGTGCCTTTCTCCCCTTTTGGAGTGCCCTTCGGACCTTTCTCACCAGGCCGTGGCACACGCTCGTAGACTTCCCTGGTCCAAAAGAGGGCATCCGCACGGACTTCCATCATGGCCTCCTTGAGCGACTTGCCCTCATAGACCAGGTTGTGGATGGCTCTCCACGCATTTCGTTCGGCGTAGAGAAGAGTCTTTTCCGATGGAGCTGGGGTTCGTCCCGCAATGTCCGGGCCCCAGAACCAGTCGTACCATTCATCCAGGTCATGCTTCGAGGCATCAAACCGTGTGAACTGGGGAAAGGCCAGGAGACACATCGAAAGATTGTTGCTGAAAACCCGATGCATCCTCTCCAGATGACGTCTGGTGGTCGTGAGCTTGCGTTCCTCTTCCTCCTCTCGCTTATCCCAACCATCTACAGTCACTTTCCGTCTTGTTTTGAATGGCTTCTCTTCGAGCTCCGGCAAGGCACTGATTATGTATTTCGCATTGATGAAGCCAAGTTCCCCCTTCGAGCAGAAGCGAAACTGCGCCTTGAGGAGGTTATCGCTCCCTTGGGCTTCGAGTTTCGGCTTCGGGAGTCCAGTTTCCTTAGTCCACTCCGTGAGGAGCTGGTGTCGGTCACACAGCACTTCCAGGCCGCAGCGGTCCGCGGAGGCCTGGCCCGGCGTGACACTGGAGCGAGGTGCATAAAGGTTCTTGGTCATGTCCTTAGCCGCCTTGATCGCCTGAAAGAGGCGCATGGCAGTGAAAGCGCTACTCTGATCCGTGAACCCATTGGAGCCGCTAGCAAAACCTAGGTCCCTGGGGCCATTGGTCCTGGCAGCCGAAGCATCGTCCCATCGGTCGGCAATGTCCTCCAAGGTTATGTATCCCTCCCTAGCAAATGCTGCCTGGACCGAATAGGGGATCTGTTTCCTCGCGAACAAAGTGGACACGGCCGAATGGAGTTCTGCAATGCGGTCGGCATAAGCATCCGGGATAGCCTCAGGGGGTTTGGCCAGAGTGACTGGCGTAGCCATGGGGAAGGGTGGGCGGGTAACAAATCTTTGAAGGACCCACGGTCCACGAACTTGGGCCAAAATGGCAGAGCCATTTTGGCAGACGTCTCCTGACATAAGACTTGCAAGTCGGCAAGCTTTGTTGCAAGTAGCTAATGTCAGATATCCGCATGAAAATGGCACACCAAAAGCACCATGCGATCAAGCCCTCTTTTGCATGGTGGATTGGTGTGGCTGCCGACTCCCGGGATATTCCTTCGGTCGAAGACCTCAGACTTTTGAAGAGGCCGTTTCAAGCAAAGGAGGGTCCCCTCCTTCAGGGCCTACGGCACCTGGGATCGGGAACCCTCTTTGTACAGAAAACAGAGTTCCAAAATTTTGTGCCGTCCAGAAAGAAGCCGAAGCCGCAGGATGGACGGCACAAAAGAACCCCAAAACTGAAAGATGTCGTCCATCTAAGGCTGGCCTTTGGAGGCCAGTGCCTTGTCCAGGTCCTGGTAGGTGACGGCCGTGTCCACGGAGTCATCCGTGAGGCTTCCTGAGGAGGCTGATTCACTGGAGTCTTCCGCAGGGGGGACATCCCCCCCTCGAAACTCCGCCGGCAAGGAGAACTGGAGGAAGCACCTAGCACACAGGCTGTAGGAATCCACGTCGCCCTGGTAGTCAACCTTGTCCATGGAAGGGCTCCAGCCACAGCCCACAGCTCGGAGGTCCTGATTCAAAAGATGGATCCGCTTTTTGTTGCCGGAGTGAGAGGCCCTTGGGGCGGGGGCACCTCGTCTGCCGGAATCTGAGTCATAAGCCAGCTCGATGCCGCGGAAGGGGTCCTTTCTCAGGGCCACTGGCACCTGCGACTGGGAGCCCACCAGCAGCAGGGTCCTCGCGGGAGAGGTCAATGACCGAGGTGCGGGCGCCGTCCGTGTCGATCTGGTCCAGATTGGAGGTGACCTTTTCCCAAATGGCGCAAACCACGTTCCTCTTCTCCCGTGTGTAGACATCAGCAGTACTTTCAGCCATCCAGTTGCCAAGGTACTGCCTTTGATCACGAGGGACGTGGGCTTGGAAGGCACAGTCCGGCATGAAGACCCGGAAGGAGTGCCAGGTGAGTCCCTCCCACAGGGCCTTGTCGATCTCCTGTCTAGAGATGGCCGAGCGCAGCCAATTCAGGGCGCGCTGTGAGGTGGCAGGCCTCGAAATGAAACCATCGTAGTCCTTACCAACGGTCGGGATGAGATAGTCCATGGTGTCGAACATGGGGGTCGCAGCCAGTTTGCGCCAAGTGGAAATGAGAGGAGTCCACCAGTCCTTGCCCGAGAAGGAGTACTTGGGGCAGATGCGGGGGACCGGCTTCTTGTGAATCGTCACCGCCGAGTGGGTCTTGGTCTGCCATGCTGAAAACTCGATGGTAGTGGAGGTCACCTTGAGGGTGTCTGGGCTAGTATGCTGAAGGTCACTGAAGCGGGCACTGGAGCCGAGCTGGAACCTTGCAATGCCACAGATGAAGGCGTCCATAAGCTCGATTCTTGTGGCCGAGCTGGAGAGCGGGCGAGCTGCAACCTCTTCCGCCTGAACCACGAAGGGCTTGGAAGGGACCTGAGCTTTCCTCATCGGACGGTGGACCGTGCTAACGAGGGACTCAGAGAGGGACTTCTTATTAGTGAGCCGAAAGGCCTCGTCAACAGCAAGGAGCCTGAACTTTTTACCAAACCACTTGAGAGTGTCCCACACCTGCTGAAGTTTGTGAGGGGACACTTCCTGATCCCGAAGAGTGTTGAGGAGAGCACGAACGTCGTGTTCCTTCCAAGGTATGGCCGTGAACCCAAGACGCCTGAGCTCTTCACAGGAGAGGCATCGCATCCTGAAGGTGCGGAACCTGGCATCGCCTAAGAGATCCATGAACTGCAAACCGGAAGCCCTTGTTTTCGCGAAGGAGATGATCTGTAGGCCGGCACGTCTAGCCAGGAGTCCGCCCCTCTTTGGAAACAGCGGGGGGGACCGGCAGGGCCAAAGGCACCTGGGAGTCCCTCCCCCATCTCCGGTGGCATTCCCCTTGCCGAAGAAAAGGCCTGGAGTATGGCCAAAGGCCTGAGCAGGGTAGGTATCCCCCTCAGGGCCAAAGGCACCTGGGAGGGAGTACCTCCAAAGAAAAGCAAAAGTACCCGAAGGGAGGGGAAGACCCCCTTCAAGGCCATAGGCACCTGGCCTTGTTCAAAAAGAAAAGGGGCTCAGGCCGGGCGGACTCGGGATGCCGCCAGCTCGTGGATCTTCTTGAAGGCATCCCGCTCCGGGTTGGAAAGCACCACCGACCAGATCATGTCCGAGACCTGGCCCATGAGGTTAGTCGGGCTCCACCCTCTTGTAGAACTCGATCCGTCCTTAACCCAGGCCTCGTGCGGGGGCTCGTCCAGGATGAGCTGGAGCTGAGCGGACTTCCCTCTGTGCTCAGCAAGAACCGGCTGGCACCTCTGCCACTTCGCCAGAATCCTTTACAGTGGCGGCAAACGTAGCCCCCACGGGTCTCACCCTTCTTCTTGTCGACAATCTCCCACGGGGAAACGGAGCTGAGGACCAGGCCACACTCCATCTTGGCCCAGAACACATGGGCCGTCTTATCCCCCACGTTCTTCTTCTTGTAGTCGTCCGAGGCCACGTTCGAGACGTTGTCCGGGGTGATGGTCGCCAAGCTTGCAGTAGATGGGGCCGGCGTACTCGGGCTTGAGGCGGGCTGTCCACCACTGCACTGTGTTGCAGCGCCACGCCATCTTTACCTCCACCATCGACTCCTGGCCCAGAGAGTGGGAGAGCGAGTTGTAAATCTCCGGGAAATCCTTGAAGGCCTTCAGGGGCAGGGTGATCCGTTCATCACATACGGCTCGCAGTCGCATGTGCTGCTTGGAGTCGTGGATGTCTGCCACCGGGAGGTCCAAAACCACCTGCGGTGTGCGGTTTATGAAGACCTTGGCGGCGAAAAAGGACCCCATTTCGCGATAGAGCTGCTTCCACTCCTGGTTTGTCGTAGGAACCGGAAGGTCGTGCAGGATCACAAACTCTTTGGCCTCCTTCATCAGCATACGATGGTCGTCTCGACGTTGCAGGTTCTGCTGTTTGTTCTTGGCCCCCCGCTTGCGGGGCTGGATTGTGATCGGCAAGTGGCTCCACACCGCATACAGGTGTCTGGCCGAGTAGGTGTGGCCGAAGCAGGAGAAGAAGCTCACCAGGTCCCACGTCTGCACTTCCTTTTGCCAGTGGGTGCCACCATCCCCCTCGGCATGGAAGGGTCCGATGATCTTGTCCAGGGGGGGCCTCGTGCCCATTGCCACCTGTGCGTCAATCTCCTCTTTGGTGAGGGCAATCGGCTCGAAGAATGGCTGCTTGAAGGAGCAGGGATGTGTCCTCATCTCCAACATGAGCTTTTCCCCTTCAGGGAGAGGCTTTGCCCACGTCGGGGCATCGAGCGGTCCTTGCACCTTCTTCCATCGGCCCCCGATCATTCGCTGCTCCCCCATGTGCAGCTCAATGATGCGTTTGAGGCGCATGATCTGAAACTCAACCGAGCCAACGGCCACTCCCAGAAGTGCCTCAGGGGACTGCTCCTCAGGGCCAAAGGCACCTGTTGAAGACAGCCCCCCGCCTGAGTCCCGGGCGACCCGCTCACCCTCACGCTGGAGCGCGGCCAGGCTGGGGAGCTCTTGCAGCAAGGAGGCCGGGAAAGGGTTCCTGCTCTGGTTCAGCAGGAACGTCGTGTTCATGTACCGGTCTTTCATGGCCTCGATGTCGTCAAGCTCCATGTCCTTGAGCGGGCTATCCGGATTGAACACGTTCATCTCCAGGGCCGCGCGCAGCTGAGTACCCCAGGTATCAATGGAGTCGGCCACAGGCCTGAGGAGCTTGGAGCGCTGGGCTCCCTCCTCCTGCATGCGCTTGTTGGAGGCCTTGGCCTCCTCCAAGGTGGCTTGCGCCGTAATGAACTCCTCTCCCTGGTTTCCCGGGCCTTGGAGATAGTTACGCTTGAGGAGGGAGCGCAACTTCTCTGTGTCCAACTGGCGGAGGATTGACGCGCCCTTTGCCTCCTCGACGCTCTGCGCGCCCGCCTGCATCTCAACGATCACGTCCAGCTGAGGGTTGATGTGATCCAGAAACTGCTCCTCCGTGAGCTTCTTGCTGTCCTTATCCACCGGGCCCGAGCTCTTCTTCGTGATATCCATCGCCGCCGCCAGCTGGGGGTGGAAGGCCCTGGTCTCCTGGCTCGGCTGCCAGTCGTCCCGGAGGTGGGGGCGATCACCAGCCTCCTTGTGAGAAAACTGCACCTCGTCGAAACATTAAGTTGCCACCGTGTGAGCCAAGCTAAGCCTCAGGGCCATTGGCACCTGGTCGGCAAAGCTGAGCTCCTTCTGATCCGTAGGTCTGGGCGGGGGCTGGGCCCACGAACCAATATCCACTGAGGCAGCCTCCTTCTGGGCCTCGTCTGCATCCGTGTACCAGGTCACACCCTGGGGCCCACAAAACATTCGCCAGGAGGTCGAGCCCAGCTTGATCTCTGCAGAGGGCGGGCCCTTGTCCACAGCGATGACGGATTTGCATTTCCCTCGACCTTGTTGTCCAGCCGCTGCCAATCTGCAAAGCAGTTGGGGCACATGAGGGAAGCTCCTGTGCTGCCAGGGTCCAGCTGGCCCATGCTGCTGTGTCCCACCCCCCTGCGAGCACGATTGTAAGGGGCAGCCAGCATCTTTTCCTGGGCCAGCTGTCTCTTGTAGATCTGATATACCTCCAATACCCTTTCGACGGCAGGGCGTGTCCAGTTCTCCGTCCTGAGCTTGGAGAACAATGAGGCGATCTCCTCCTGGGTCAGCTGCTGTGCCAGATCTGCACTCTTTTTGCCGATGCCCGGGAAGTCCTCCGGGAAGCCCTCGATGCGGAAGACCTTCTCCTCCAAGGTGCCGGCGGGCAGGGCCGAGTATGGTCTTGTCTTAGACGAATCGTCACTTCTTCTGGGACCGTCTGAGGCACCCCCCTCAGGGACAAAGTCACCTGGGGTTGGCACCTCAGGGCCCGAGGTGTCCATCTCGGTAGTGGTCTCCATGTGGGAGCCGACAGGGTCCGTGTCCATGGCTGCAGCTGGGCTGTCCTCATGGTGGGCCGCCTCAGCAGCCATGTCGCTTGGCAGCTGACTTTCCTCCTTGACAACCACCTTCTCGCTGCCCTTGGTCAACAAACGTGCCATGGCCGCATCCATTTCCTGGAGCCGCAGGTCCAAGGCAGTTTCGTCCACCTCCAAAGTCGTGAAGGAGGTCAGGGTGGAATTCACCGTCTCATCCTCATGGGCAGAAAGATTGTGTGCCAGGGTAGCACGGGCCAAAGCCACATCATCATCCGGCTTCTCCCATTCCGGATCACTGTCCCCTGTGTCACGAGGGGGAATCAAGCTCTCAACCGTCTCCATGCTGGAGGCAAGGACGTCATCGACATTAGCAACGGGGGTGAGTTCCATGATCGACGGTCGCGAGAGAAAAAGCGGGAGCGAATGTAACAAATCTTTGAAGGACCCACGGTCCACGAACTTGGGCCAAAATGGCAGAGCCATTTTGGCAGACGTCTCCTGACATAAGACTTGCAAGTCGGCAAGCTTTGTTGCAAGTAGCTATAAAGCCCCTTATAATGAAGCCCATTAAGGTAGGGATATTATCCCTATAAAATGCTTATGCTTATGTGCTTTTTGGGGTCCCTATGCAATGACTTCAGAGCCAGACTGGTTAGCTCCAGACAGGGCGGCAGAGGGCTGTGGTCGCAGACGACACTCCCCCGCCTGCCACCAGCTTCGGCGTGGCCACCTCCTCCTCCAAGAAGCTTTGCATTCGAGGCCGTTGGCACTAAATACTGAAACTTAAGACCCTATGCCAGACCCAGAGAGCCCACCCAGAATCAAGGAATCCAGCGACCCTGGCAAGCTGCCCTTCTTCCAACCCCAATCGATTTCCCACTCTCTTCCGCCAAACCATCCTCTCTTTCCCCATCCCTCCCCCACCTCCCTGCAAGCTTCCCTTACGCAAAAAAAACACACCAACATTGCCTGCTGGTTGGCTTTAAAGCTGCGTTGGTGCATTGGAGTTTCTCGCCAACGCAACAAAGTGGCGGGATCGAATATGCTGGGGCCCTGCCCTCCCCTTCTCCTGCCTCTCCCCCTGCCCTCCCATTCCCTCGCTCCACTTAGACGAACCATTGATACGGCCCAGGTATTTATCCGCTACCCGAAAACTACGCAAGCCCAGCGATCTGGCGCAAGCTTCAATGTAGAATAATTCAGTACACATTAGTATACTGCTATAGTATACTCTTAATAGAAAACACACAGTTTACAGCAGAACACAATATAATTCAGTATACTTTAGTAAAGTATACTACAGTATAGTATCCTAGAGTAGTGAAATACAACTTACAGTGTAACATAGTTGACCCTATAGTTCTAATGTCCTTTACAGTACAACATAAGACAGTATGACTTATAACATCCTTTATCGTGTAACATAGTGTAATACAGGAGAATATCGTCATCCTCGGATCATGGGGACTATATTATTTTGGGGGCTCCTTCTTATAGTTATACTATAATGGGCCCCAAAACCCTGGCCCTATTCTGATTATAAAGAAAGTCTCTGAAAATCCGTGCAGATCTGGAGGTCCTCCTGGTGTCCGCCGACCATGTCCAGTTTAGAGTTCATGGTTGGCGGAGGCGGCGTCACGCACCTCCGGGCTTAGGGTTTAGGGGAATCAACTCGCCCGGCTAAAACAGGAAACAGGAGCTACCACGACGAAGTGAGGGGGTTACGCATCAATTCACGATGAACCGGAAGAAGGGCTACTTAGCGAGCGGGGAACGTGGGACGACAAAGTGAAGACATCGTTGCTGTGCTTCCCATTCAAGCTCGCACCTCGATTCCAGGGCTAGTCTGCCTTTCTTGGATGATCATGGGACTTAGTAAGTAAGGTTATAAGTTCCCTAATTGGAGTTATAAGTTTCGTTACCTTATTTATAACCCTAGTTACCAAGTCCCATGATCCTCCAAGTAGACCCTAAAGCCCTAAACCCCTATAGATCCCTTATAGAACCCTTTAAAAGGAGCCCTTTAAGGAACCCTTTTAGGAACCCTAAGCTTCTCTGCAGAGCCCGGGGCACCCGGACATCGAAACCAGCTTGCCGCAGTCGATGGTCATCGCCATTCTTGCCTGCACCTTCCGAACAAAGGTTTAGGGTTTAGGGTTTAGGGCCTGCACCTGAAACAAATACTTACCATGGGTTAGTAGGGAATAGGGCTTCTTCAAAGGGATCTATAGGGTTCCTTTAAAGGGATCTATAGGGGTTTAGGGTTCCTTTAAAGGGATCTTTACCTTTGGTTAGTAGGGCTTGCCTACACCTGAAACAAACACTGGGTTTAGGGTTCCTTTAAGTTCAGGGATTCGGGTTTAGGGTTTAGGGTTGGGTTAGTAGGGAATGGAAGAATGGGGTTCAATTATAAATACTACTACTTCCATTCTTCCATTCCCTACTAACCAAAGGTAAGAACAAACACGGAGCACAGCAGGCACCGTGCAGAAGCAGGCAAAGCTGCCGCAGGCACAACGCATGTCCGCTCTGCGAAGGGCTCTACTGGTCGACCAGCATACTCACCGGGGCGCCACGAGCTGCAGAACCCTAAACCATAAGCCCTAAACCCTGAATCCTAATGAACAACAACCATGAACGCTAAACCCGAGCCTTAAACCCTAAACCAATGCAGCCCAAAGTGCAGAAGTCTTCGCGCAAGGGAGAGGCGGGGAGAGCTTTCAAAGTCGCTCAGGGCTGCGGACCCGAGATCTCTTTCAGCTTCACAGGTGGAGAGGGGGTACTTGGAGGGTCGGGGGACTTAGTAAGTAGGGGGCTCCTTTAAAGGGGATTATAAGGGTTCCTTTAAAGGGCTCTATGAGGGTGCTGTAGGGTTTAGGGTTTAGGGTTCAGGGACTTGGTAAGTAGGTAGTAAGTAGACTTATAAGTACCCTAAAAAGGACCCTAATTGGGGTTATGGTACTTATAAGTCCCTAAAATAACCAGCTACTACGTCCCCCGACCCTCCAAGTACTCTTCGAGTTCCTCTGAGGTATTTTGTAAGGGGTACTCTACAGTCTCTACAAGTCATTATGAGGGATACCTTCAAGGGTATAGACTGCACGGGGTACTACAACGGACATGATGACCTGCACACGTGCGTACAGCCTCCATGTGTTTGCTGCCACATGGCAGGCCAACCCGTCTTCAATGCTCAGCTCTTTCCAACTGGGGCACCGAGCATGACCTTTGCAAATATTTGCCTGCGTCAGGGAGGGCTCAGAATTTTGCGGGAATCCAGGAGTACCTGGAGAGAGTTTAAGGTGTTGGGTATGGGGTACGGGCAGAGGCATCAAGTCTTAACACGCCGGGAGTACTGAATCTCTTTCTCAAGAGATGCGAGCTCGGTCACAACAGGAGCGAGAGCCTGGGCAGAATGGAACCGCGTTATGGGCTATTTTGGGGTTTAGTGACGTTTAGGTGTTTAGGATTTTACCGTGTTGGGTTTAGGGTTGTGGCACTTAGGGGTTTACGGTTTTGAGTTTTGGGTTTAGGGTTCAGTGACATTTAGGTTTTAGGGTTTGGTGTCTAGGGTTTAGGTTTAGGGTTTAGGGCAAGACACGTGTACTACATTGCCTGGGCGCTGAGGGACTTGGGTGGGATTCAGGTCCATCATAGGCAGCCTGTCACGAAGAGGTGTCTATGGCAGGACGAGATGAGAGGCAGACATGCAAGCAGCATCTGCTTTAGACAGGCTGCAAGGAATACACTACAGGAGCCACTGCATGTCCTTGAAACCGACATGTCTCCAGCCAAGATCCTACCAGGCTAGAATAGGATATAACATGTGGCCGGCATAATTCTTTGGCCTTGAGATCCCGAGGATGAAGAACCAATCTGCATTGACTTTACTCGAGGAAAAGTGAAACTTCAGTGTGTGCGACATCAACTGCCCAACGCTTTCTTGGTGCCGAACGCTGGTATGTTTTGCTGTCATCGCAATAGTCTTGTCGCCTTTCCTTGAAGCAAATCAACAACTGTTCGGAGTGAAGCAGCTGCCAGCCCAAGTCAAGATCCCATCAAAACGATGCGCTTCTGTACTGCACACAGAAGGGATGCCAAGTAGCTTCGCACCATAGACGACAACTGCGGCCTCCTGCGGTGTGAGGCGAAGTGAATGGAGGCTTTCTGCTGGCTTAGGTGAGCCAACTCCCTTGTGAAGAAGCGCGGCCCCCATTCTCGGTTGTCGGTATTGAAATACGGTTGATGATATAAATCCTGCATTCCCCGCAATAAAGAGTACGCCATAACTCCCACGGTTTAGGGTCCTGAAGGTAATGCAGGATTTATATCATCAACAGTATTTCCGAAAAGAGGGGACCCTAATATAGTACCCTAAATAGTAGGACTTAGTAGGATCCTTATTATAAGGACCCCAAAGTAAGGTACCCCCTATTTTCGAAAACCCCCATATGTCCACATCTCGAAATGCAAGTTGAGCATGGTTCGCTACCGACTCATGGTCTCAAGATGGCTAAAAAAAGTCTGGTACCAGCTTTTGCACACCAAGTATGGGGTTTAGCGGGTTTCCGAAAACAGGGGACCCTAATATATTACCCTAAATAGGGTTCCTTTAAGGGATCTATAAGGGTTCTATAAAGGGTTTAGGGTGTGCCTCGTAATATCTAGCTTTCCTGATAAAACGAAAATTTCGTTATCTCGTGTTGGGGGGCTGCCCACTCCCTTCCATGCAAGTGCTGGCATAGGGTTCAGATGTTCGCGGTGTTACGTGCTTTTCGGCAAGTGGGTTTTGAGGCCTACCGTGCACTCCCTTTGTTGCTTCCTTCCCTCATTGCTTCCTTCTTCCTTGCCTCCTTCCTTCCTTCCTCCTCTGACTCCTTCCGTCCTTCCTTCCATCCTCTCTGCTTCCTGAGTTCCGTGTTGTAAGTTCTCGGCGATTTGCTTGATGTTTGGCTATATATGGCCATGCTTTAAACCTGTTTAACACCTAAGACCCAAAATGCCACGGTTTAAGGGTTTCGGGCTTCGGGTCCTCTGCCCCACGCAACCACCGAACAACAAAATCAAACCACAGCTCCAGAACTCCGAACGCGAGGCAGCCGCCTCCTTCTTCCTCATCTGCGCTCGCCGACTGGGAGGTTCCTTCACCGTGGCCTCCTGATTCCGGGTGTAGGGCTTGTAGGGTTTAGGGTATAGGGTTTAGGGTTTGTAGGGTTTAGGGTTTAGGGTTAGCTGTGCCGAACAGACGGCGCACTTGAAGACAGTCGGCGCAAGGAAGCAAGAATTTTGCAGCTTGCGTGTAAACCCTAAACCCGGCCTTCTTTAGCCTCTTCTTTCCTGCCTCCCCGAAGGGACTCTCCAAGACTCCAGCCACACTGAAGTCCTCACACGGGACAGTCATGAGCTGAAGCGTCTCCCGTCTATCAAGAATATCGTCTTCTACGCCCTACCGTAGTCTATTATTGTCTCGTATAGTAGTTAGTTTACAAACAGTTATAGTCTACTATTATTGTAGTATACTATTGTCCGTTGTGTTCTATGATAGTATATTGCAAACATGTCATATGAACAATATGAAACCTCTTTGTCCGGAGCCCTCCTGGCCTCTGCATCAGTAACCTTAAACCCTACACCCCGAACCCTAAAGAAAGCCCTAAACTTTAAATACCCTCAACCCTAAACCCTGAACCCCAAACCCTAAACCCAAAGCCCTACCCTAAACCCCTAAACCCCCTAATCCCAAGCCGGCCGAGCACTCCTGGCCTCTGCGTCCATAACCTTCATCGGCATGCCGATGCGAGTCTCCACCTGCAACGTCCGTCCCGGTCCAGCTCGGGGTTTCAGGGTTTAGGCTTAGGGGGTTGAGGCTTTAGGGCTTAGGGTTTAGGCTTAAGGAGTGGAGGCTCAAGGGTTTAGGGTTTAGGCTTAAGGAGTTGAGGCTTTGGGGTTTAGGATTTAAGGTTTAGGCTTGAGGGTTTCGGTTTCAGGGGCGGGGGGCGGGTCAGAAAGCTGGGAGAAAAGGAGCCACCTTCTTGATGAGGTCGGGCTCGTCGTACCAGATGGTGCAGCCACCCTCGTCGATGATCCAGTTCGCGTCATCCCGCGCCCTGCTTTCCCAAGGTGAGATCCGCAGAAATAGTGGCTTTGGGTCTAGGGTCTAGGATTTAGAGCTTCGGGTTTAGGGTTTAGGGTTTCCTAAACCCAAAACCCTTCAACCCTAAACCCCATACTTTCAAAGGCGCCTCAGTTTGCCATCGGGTCCGAACGGGATCGTCAGACACGTGTTTCCCGGCCAAGGTTTGCAGTCCTGACATCTTCCTTGAGTTTAAGGCTTCTTCCCGGTTCTGCTAGTGGTTTTCACTAGATTCTAACATGTTGTCAACTTGACTGTTGCAGGTTCGGTGACGTGCGATACAAGACCTCTGTCCTTGCCCCGGGAAGGACACTTGTGGTACCAGACTTTCTCTTTCTCAGTAGCGACCTTGACAAGGAGTGAGCTTCCCGAGATATGGGTAGTTGTCAATATTAGGATCCCTTTTTGGGTACCTTAAATATTAGGTGCCGTAGTCTATTAGGGACCCAAAAAGGGACCCTAATTTTGACAACCACCCATATGCAGCACAAACTGGGAACGCGGAGTGATCCCGCGTCTTTTGCCCAAATCAGGTGCTGGCGATAGAGATTGCCAGGCCCATGCGCTCTGCGCGACCGCAACGACCTAGGCTCTTCACCCTCAGTCAGGTTTCAGGATTTCAGCTCTTCATGGCTGAGGCTTTGAAGTTTGGGGTGCAACGAAGGCCCAGAGAGCACTCCCAGAGATCCCAATACCCCTTAATTAAGGAGTATACCTTAAATTATAGAGGCCTTAATACTATGATTTAAGGTATATTCCTCAATTAAGGGGTATTTTGGGATCTCTGGGACTGGGGCGGGTCATGGCGAGTCCTTACTTGGAGGATCATGGGACTTAGTAACTGGGGTTATAAATAAGGTAACCATAACTCCAATTAGGGTACTTATAACCTCACTTAGTAACTAAGGGTACAAATAAGGTAACTATATTTCTAACTCCAGTTAGGGTACTTATATTTTTCATTCTCTGCGGTAGTGTCGCTGTCGACGCTCGCCTAGCAATCAAATTCGGGTGAAACTGTGGCGGATGATTTCAGGCCCTCGTGGCTAAAGAAAAACCCGGCATCAGTCAGCCACTGTTTGGCTGGGCCGAGTCCTCTGGCCAAGTCTGGACATCGGACCTGAAATGTGCAGCCCTCTTGTAGGGCAATCTCCCATCCCTGTGCGATGATGGAGCAGGCCTGCTCAAGCCAAGTGGAGTATGCTTGCCCAAGTCGAAGGCTAGTGCTGGTAGGCCCAGATGGTGACAGTGTCACCGGAGGTGGTGCTTCCAGGTGGAAGCACGGACCAGCACGGGATGCTGCCAGGTTGAACTGGGGTAGCGGAGCCCAATTCGGGAGAGTGCCCAAAGCAAAGGCATGGCGGGAGACCTTGGTCTTTGTATCAGGCTCAGGCTCTCCGATAAGATCAGGATCTAGCAGGAGCCTCACATTCTCTGCAGCACTGCAAACACTGGCATCGTCCGGGTGGCCCTCCGCCCAGCATCAGAATCTGCAAGGGCTCGATGACATCAGAGACAACCTCCCAGACGGTGGCCTCCTCAACCTCCACAAGGGAGTCGAGTGCCGACAGCAAGACGGTTGAAAGCGTCTCCTTATCCTCGGGCGCATCAAGAGCACTGAAGCTACCAGGGACCGGAACAGGAGGCATTTGCGGATGGTCGCATCCAATAGCGGCATCCTCCTCACAGGCAGGTGTGAAGCTCCCCCAAGCAGCGATGCATCGGGAACTGGAAATCAGGTGTCTCCGAAGACGCCCGGTTGTGCCATAGGTGCGGCCGCAAGATCTGCAGATGGGCGATTTGCCTATCAGGTAGGCCTTTGTTCGATATCCATGCTTGCGAGCAGCATGGCCAGCCCAGGCAACCCGAGAATGAAAAACTCGGGCGCATGGGATACACGCCTCTGGAAAGGCATCTTGTGTGTGGTCAGGTCGTTGCACAATGGGTGCCTGAGATTTGATGGCCCGGTATAAACCGTCCAGCGCAGCCAGCACACGTTGTCGGCAATTTTCCAGACCCTGCGCCCTGAGCAGCAAGCCTTTGTATCGGCCCTTCTGGTGGCAGATAAAATGGCACCAACTATTCCACTCCTGAGTAGGGTGTGGCAGCTCACACGTAGCATGCGTCCATCCGTAAAGCCAGTCGAGGGCTGTCCTCATGGCAGTTAGGTAGCCTTGATCAGTGCGGAGTGCGGCCCACATTTCGTCGGGGGCAGAGGTCAGGAGCATCCTCAAGTACAACAACCGCTGTACATGGAGGAGTTCCTGTGGTCCTGGCAGGCCGGTTAGTGCCAGGATGGTACAGGCCTGAAAATGCTGATCCCCGTGAGCTGGGATGCCGCAGATCGCCCTGTACATGGACCATAGGGCTCCGCTGAAAAGTCGCAGCTCCTGTCTCAGGAGTGGGGGCCACGTCCCACAGCCGTAGAGCAATTTGGGAAGGACTGACGCTCGTAGAATGAAACCACGACGGCTGATCGGAACTCCTTTTGCCTTGTAGACTTTGTGTCGTCCCTCCGAGAACGCAGCCCAGGCTTGAGCGGCTCTGTACTTGATTTCCACAAGGAGACTGCCGCGTACAGCTTGAAAGACGCCGAGATGGCGATATGTAGCTACAAGCGGGACCTGGACAGGTTGTGAAGTCTCACGCAACGCCTGGACAGACCCTTTGCAGCCCAGTGGTCCAAAAAGCTGCTTTCTTGCTGCCCGCGATCCTGGGCCCACAGCCTGTGCGAGTACAGCTGTCTTATTGGGCCCAAAAGACATCCGGAATCCAAAGTTTGCGAAGGAGTCACAAAGGCTGCCCACACATGAGGCAACGGCAGAGCAAATCCGAGAGTTTGCGCGAGCGACCCTCATTGTGGCTGTATCATCAGCCCATACCAAATCTCCTGCTGGAATGGTGTCGCATTGATCGGGGCAAGCTTCTAAAACTTTTTGGCCGTCCCAAGGGAGGCGAGGCACAAAGGCTGCCGAGGACGTAGAGAGGCCTTCCAACGAATCCCTTTCGCCCAAAACGCGGCCAATTACCATGCCAAAAAGAATGTCCGCCCACGACGAGCCGGGGCGAGTGCCCCGAGCCGTAAGCACGGCTCGGGAGTCATCTTTAAGCAAAAACCAAGATTTGTCAGAAAGCTGTTGTGCCATCGCCTCAAGCCAGGAGGATGCCCCGGCACGGCTCAATCCTGTGCTTTCCCTGGCATGCCGTTGGAGGGTGGCCATTTCGTCCTCAGAGAGGCCGAGGCCCTTGCAGACTTCATCTAGCGCTGCCGAAAGGTCGTCGGTGTCGCCCCTGGATGCTACCAGCTGCCGCACCACGGCGTAGAAGGCCGATGCTATGTCAGAGAAAAGCACAAAACAGCTTTGTCCTCGGCTGAGGTGATACCGAAGCACGGCTCGCACCAAGTGAGCTCCGAAACACACTGATTTGCCTGGCTTACCGCCGATTTGTAACGGGGGTGTGCCTTTGACGTACAGGTCGCTGATTGCAGGTCTCACCGCCTGGTGCATAATTTTGGCGAAGCACGGCAAAAGTATGATTTGTCGGAATGAGGCGCACTCGTCTTTTGCACCTCGTCCCTTGTGGAACCATACTGCCATACCTCCTTTCATGCCCATTGGTTCCTGCCCACGAAAGAGCAGCTTCAGCAGGATGGGCAAGAGAGCTTCAGCGCAGAGGGTTGCGAATCCTCGGAGGAGTTCGTTGGGGAGGCCATCCATTCCAGCAGCTTTCCCACTTTTGGACGAGAGCATCAGGCGCACAAGGTCTGCCTTTGTTGGCAGCTCGCTGGTGTCCAGAGGCGTAGGCCAATCTGTCGGACATACGTCCAGGCGGTGGCCTATGTCATGGACATCCATTGCAGTGCCTGCTTCCATGGCAGCAAAGTATTCTCGCCATCGCCGCAGAGCAGAGGGTGCATCTGGGCAGACTTCACCTTTGGCGTCTTTCACCTGAGGCAGAGGCTCAGGGGTGTAGGCCTTTTTGCGCTTGTGCCGCAGCAGCTTGTGCAGAGCATCATGGACCCCCGAGTTGGGGCCAGTAGCCAGCTTCTCCGCCAGGCTGGCGGTGTATGCTGCTCTATCGTGCTTGCAGGCAATGCGAAGCTGCTTGCTGCCGACACGTACATGGTAGAGGTGCAAGACAGCCGAAGTGAGAGCCTTGTCTGCCCACGGTCCGGACCAAGGAGTATCCCCAAAGGGAGACTGCTGGCCACACCATCGTGCGAAGAAGAAAGCAAGTGTGTTTCGACGACATTGCTGTTGGAGCTTGTTGAGGCTTCGCTTAAGGCTCGAGACCTTTTTCTGCAGTGTCCAGGTATCCTCTTGCAGGTAGACGTGATGTGGCCTAGAAGGCTTACATGGCACAATGGCCGAGAGGCCTTGCTGAAGATGCCCAACCACTAGTGCAGCGTGAGCGTGCACTGAGGTTTGCCACGTAACTTGCGGAACAGAGGTGATAACCTGTGCAATCTTCTCCTGCAGCATAGGATCCGAGAACATTTGTGGCGGCAGCCTGGCCCTTCTGGACTTCTTTTTGGTACCAGGCATGTGCAAACGGAGGCTGCAATGTACCAAGGTCGCGACATGGTCAACTCCTAGAGTAGCAACCTGTATGCCGTGGTCGGTCAAGGCATGGCAGGTGCCGGACTGCCAGGTCAAAGGAAGCGCGACAAAGTCGGGACGGCATGGCTTGCCGTTGCGCTTTTGATAGAAGGTCTCGCTGGGTCCGTGCTGGCATTCAGGAAACGTGCACGGCAACCAACAGTCATTGTCTCGAAGGACTTCATGGAAGTGGGCGCCTGCCAAGTCCTCTTCCTCTGGCATCACATCAGAGACATGTCTCGATGGGACACTTCCTACCGAACAGTTCATGTCCCCCGATATGATCACATAGTCGTGACGGCGGTGCTTGGCAAGGATCTTTTGAGTGTCCTGCCACCATTCGTCTAGAATTGGTCGCTCAGTTGCTCTGTGCGGGGCGTGGAGCGAGCAGAAGACGATGGACAGGCTGCCTGATTTATACCTTGCCATGATTCGTCGAGGGTCAGAATGGCATATGTTGAAGTGCTTCTCAGAAAAACACCAGCACTCCTCGCATGATGACTGGCTTCGCATCAGGACGTGCCCCTCGCGAAACCACAACTCAGTACCGTGGTGACCGCGGTCTGCACCGCTAGCAAAGCGAAGGAAGCCCCCTACCTTGGAGAAGCCTTGCGGGCACCTTGTCTCCTGCAGAGGCAACAACAACGCCACAGTCGGAAAGCTGTTTGGCGAGGAGTGCCGCACGAGCAGGGCTCTGATGCAATCCGTTGCCTCCGACCGCATGGCCAACATCATCTTCAAGACAGGCACCCAAGCTAAGAGTGTTGAAAGATGCGACGCGCAGGCGCAGGTCGAAGAGGGAATTATGCACATCAGAATTGGGATTGCTGTCGGAGTCCCAGATAGCATCACTGGGAACGAATGGCTGCAGCATTTGTGCATAGGTCATTCCTTGATGCCAAGAGTCATGGCCTAGACTGCGGGCCCCTGCAGCTGGAAGGGTGGGATCCCCATTGAGTTGGCGGAGCACGGTCACCGCCCATGGGAGTCTCGGGGCACCACCTGAAAGCCAGTCTTGAAGATCTGGCTCAGGAAGGTCGAGGAGTGGGGCGATCTTGTCGAAGCGAGCGCCCTTCTTTGCAAGGGTGTCAGCAATCTCATTGAAGAAATGCCCTTGGTGGCCCGGGACATATGCGAAACTGTCCTGCAAGGCTCGATGGGATCTTCGGAGATCGAAGGCGTTGCACATAGCTTGGGCACATCCCCCGACTTGACACGCAAATTTACCTTCAGCTCCTCGCAAAGCTGCAACACAATCAGAGAAGAAAGTGACGGGCATCGCGGGATATTTCACCCATGCTGTAATCGCAGCGATGGTCAAGGCAAAGCATTCAGATGTATAGGCAGAAAGCTGCTCTCCGGGTCCCAATATCCACTGGGGAACTTTGCCAAACCCAACACCTAAAACACCCAAAGAGGCATCGAGGAAAAGGCATGCCCAGCCTGCACAAGCATCTTGCGCATCAGATGCAGGGTTGAAGGAGCCATCTGTGAAGCATAGAAGGCCTTGGTGGCCCGATTGTTGAACCTCATGCAGCGCTATGTTTGTCGACTCCGGATCCACTGGTACCCTGCATTGGCTCAAGTGTGCGATGGCTTCTAGCCAGGACATACACTGCACCGACATGCTGCAGAATTGATGTAGCTGCTGCCAAGTGAAGCCCAACGGAGTGACGCCGAAACAGACCTCATCAGGGCCGGCCATGGTGGAGGGTCGTACTTGGCCCGGAATTGCCGCATCGAGGCTCAAGATGTGCGGCAAAGGGGTCTTATCAGAATCGGTGTCTGCCGAGTATGCCTCGAAAAGCACTTCAAGAGTGGCGGCAGCAACCGCCATCGCCGAGCACTGCGGCTCAGCTGCGGCTATCTCAAGCAGGGTTGGTTGGCGTTGACGCGACCACAAGTCTCTATTCTCACAACGGGAGGCTGACTGTCCAAGAAGGTCGCTGAGTGGATCGCGATTCTCTTCGTCTGAGCTATCACTATCGTCGTCGATGTATGGGGGGCAATCCGCGAGGCGGCCTCCTCTGCATGGAGTCGGAATGGCACGGCGGGCAAATGTTTGCACTGGGGCTGCCTGCACAGGCAGGCACAAAGCTCCAGGAGCTGGCTCGGCATGCTGCGGGTGCTCTGTATTCCATGTATCTTGACCCATGGTCAAGGAGGGGCGAAGTTGCCCGCGAAGGTCATGGGGAATTGCGGGAATATGGACACCAGCAGCCGGAGGACAAGAAAGGAAAGTCCATCCGACAAGGATGCAAATCCCAACACGCAGAATAGAGTGCCCAGGAATACCGCTCGTTAGCAGGTAGCACGGCAAAAGTAAACCAAGCACAATGCCATGGACTATGTCCTGTAGGAGGGTCAGGAGGCAAGGGGTGAGGGAAGGTGGCCCTGAGGAAAGGGCGAGGTGTAGGATTACCGTCCTCCACATTGCAACTCTACTAGCCCTACTTGACAAATTGAGCATGCGTGGTTTATGCATCTCCTGCCTGACAGTCGGAATCTCCTGTGCCTCAGGGCAGGCCACCAGAGAGGCTGGAGGCAGGGGAGGTGCAAGGCTGTCACTCGGGCCACTCGGGCCCACATCAGCTTCGCTATCTGCTGGAGCCAGTGACGAATCCGAGGTCGAGACCTCCCCAACCGAAGCTCTATGAGAGTCTTGCTCCAGATGGTCCTGGTGATCATGATCTGGATTGTTGTCAGTGTCAGATCCTTCTGCTGGGGCCGGTGCATCAGCGGCTTGTGCTGCATCAGTGGGTGCAGAAGAAACAAAATGCACCGTGAGCACAGTTCCTGGCACGACAGTACATACACCATCCTCGGCGGCAAGAGGATTGTCACCTTGCAGAAGGACGGCCCTGCAGTTTTCCGGGCAGATGGACTGAAAGCGGTTCAGAATCGGTTCAGTCATGACATTGCCGTTCCTGGCCACACCCCAAGTCATGCCGCAAAGGATGGGCCTCATATCCAAGACGTATAGCACGGACTCGGCACTGCGCAACACAGATTGGGTCACTATAAATACCGCAGAACCCCAAATGCCATAATCAAAATGGTCAATGAGATTAGGCCGGGTGGGCTGAATCACGAGTCGATCAGGGTCATACCCCAGTACTTGGGCCATGTCAGCTCTTTGTGAGCCGGTCGTCCATGGTGCACGTAGGAATTGTGTGGGTTCGTCGTCTGTAAGTAGAAGGAACCACATTCCATCAATTCCAGGTAAGGGGTGGTCTCGACTCCAGGCTAGAGTGTCTTGCAGCATGTCCTGGATCCTCGTGACAGCAAACGGCAGATGATCCGCCGGGACGAAGGTTATGCAGTATCCAGTGTCCACACCGATAGCGTCCCTCTCTTCCAGGGGAAGGTGGCGGTCGTGGACGTATACTTCGACCGTGGAGTGCCGAGGCAACCTGGCTATGGCCAGCAGCGACGCTCGGGTGGTGACGGATGCGCATAGTGCACAGAAGATCGCACCATTGATGCGTGAGCAGTCTAAGATCACATGCTTGTCTGTAGTCCAGTTCGGCAACACCAGCCCAATGGCATAGGCTTCCACAGGTTGTGGATGTGCAATAATGAGGCGTGGGAACCGATCAACAAGTCTCTGCGATCGCTGATTCTGCACAGCTACAAGGGCCTGATCTTCGGATATGCCGATCGGCAGGTCAACATCCACTACCTCTGGGAGGTATTCAGGTGCGAAGAGCAGAAAACGTGCTGGCATGACCCCTGCCTCACCACCTCCAACCTCCTCCCCAGTTGGTCTGGGTCGCACGAAAATTGGAGGGGGAAGACCTGGCAAACGATCTTCCCAGAGTTCAAAGGGCTGTTGATGTGGATCCCTTGGAGGAGGCTGGGCTGCCCCAGATGCTTCTGATCGTTGGCTTGGCTGTGCGTCAGGAATGCGATGGGTGCGCGCCGCAGTCAAGGCGCCGTCCCGCTGAAAATGCAGGCCGAAGTGTTGGTGGTCTGGACCACCGTCGCACAAAACACAAGCAGCCCCGTGAGTCGGGTCCTGTCGCACAGACCGCGGGGGTGGGGCTTCCATCTCACAGTCTCGCTCGGCTGGTTCAATCCTGTCGTCCGCCGTAGGAGGGTCAACCGGAGCAGCTGCGGAAAGTGCAGTGGAATGTGCAGCTTCATCGTCTGTAACGAACCTTGGAGAGCGGGAGCGTGCCCGTCTGACGGTAACATCTGGCGGAAGGTTGACAGGGAGGGGTGGTGGTGGGCCCATTTGCCTGCCAAGCTGGTCGCCAGGAGCTGGGGCATCGTCCTCCGCAGAGCTCGCACTGTCTTCCAAAGATGACTCGTCATCAGTGCTGCCTTGAAAGTCAGCCCAAATCCCTGAACGAACAAACCCAAAGGTAACCACATCGCCTTCCCTCAAGGTGAGGAATCCATGTCTGTCTGGGCGAGGGTAACACTTAAGGGTGTAAGCTGGCGGGGGTCGGGCCTCGACATATCGCAAGAGGAAGGCAGCTTCGACTCTCGATTCGGCCAGGTATACATGAAGCACTGGCGCATTTGCCGGGCGCGGGTCAAGGAAGACTAGGATTCCTGTTCTATCCGGCCGTGGCTCCAGTGGGAAAACCGCGATAACATCACGGCAGTCCTTGCCATGATGGCTCACATCTTGCAGGGAAGTGCCCGAAGCAATGCAGAACAAGGTGCGCTCTGGCGGACGATCCACCATGTCTGCCAGTCGGGTCCTAATCTCCCCATCCGGGAACAGCCCTCTTGAGACAACGAGATGTCGGTCCCCGACCGTCACGAAGACTGGCCGACTGTCGGGAGTCCTAGGCAAAACAGGTTCGGCGAACCACCACTGAGGTCTTGCAAGTCTTGTGGACATCGGACAGTCCCAGTGTGCTGCAGCTCCTGGAGCCTGGAACTGAATCACACCTCCCGTTATGGCAATCATGGTATCTCCTGGTGTCAGGGGTCGTGAGCAACCAAAAGCATATGCGACCCAGTCGTGCTGGCCATGGTGCTGGGCTTCCCGGAGGCAGTCCCCATAGCGCATATGTTTGTCCACGTAGGCCGCATACGTAGGCCCTCCTAGTGCAGCGAAATCAAAAACAATGACTTCCAGGCCTGACGTGCACACCCATTCAGGGTAAGCTATTAGGGAGCCGTGATCTGGAGCTAGCTGTGGTATCGTGGCCGCTACGATCGGAGCAAAACCATTGGGTGGCAGGCGCAAGGCGGACTTGGCTGCATCGAGCACCGCTGACATAGGGCATGGCAGGGGCAAGTCAAACTCGATGGTCTGTGTATGGTAATGTGGAATCAGCACACGACAGATCATGATGGTACGTCCTAGTACAGAATCCTCGGATGAGGCCCCTTCATCCTCTGGCGGGGTATCTTCATGTTGGAGCAAAGGAGCTTGGAGAGCGCAAAGTTGCAGCTGGTTCGCCCAGCTGGCCCTTCTTTGGAAATCCATGTCATCAAGCACAGAGGGTCGGGCAATCCTTTGGGTTTGCAGTGGAATAGGATCTGGGAAGAGCCGCGTAGCCTCAATGATGATGTCAACTGCTTCGCCCCACAAAGGCGGTGCCGCCCACACAATGCTGGGTAGCTGCCACCAAAAAAGGGTCTTTAGCAGCCTGGCCGGAGCTCCAAGTGTTTTGCTCATACAAGCCTGTTGGCCTCTTTGAAAAGAGTAGGCCGAGCTAGCACGATGCCTGGTCCTTGCCTGCGGGGCTCGTGCTGGTGCAATGCGCCCCGCCTCAGCAAGTGGTTGCAATGCTGCAAGCAAGGGCTTCATATCTGGCAAAGGCAGAGAGCGTTTTGGCCAGAGCCTGTGGAGTCGGAAAGGCAGAAGCGCCAGCACGGTGAGCAAAACTAGGCATATCAAGAAGAAATGCCGAGCCATTTGGAAGCACCAAAAGATGAGTCCGGAAACCCAAGACGGAAGCTCATCACAAAATCTGGCTGGCATCAAAGGTATGCGTCTTGATGCACTTGCAGCTAGAAGAGCATCTTTCAGCCTACACGGTATCCCTGAGGCGTGTGCCAAGGGGGGGCCTAAACCAAAAACAGAAAATTGGGGAAGGACTAGAACCCAATGGGTTGTGGGAGGGAGTCCTGCTGCACATGGGCGGCTGCCAAATTCCAAGGCGCCTTGGCCCAAAACGCCAGTGTAGCCCGGGGGCACCTGCCAAGACACGGTCGTCGTCCCTGCGCCACCGATACGACTCTTAGGCACTCGGTCTTGGAAGGCATCACACGGGCAGGCACTGTGAAAGGAAGCAAGCTGCGCGGAGGCAGCGACACAAAAAGGGTTGTCTGGCCAAGAAGGCGGCCAATCAGCCTGAGAGGAGAGGAGGATCCTGGCAATGAGGAAATTCCAAAAGGCTTCGAGAGCTGCAAATCCACAAGGTCTATGAGGCGAGCAGGCTGCATACGGATTCTGTACACCCAAATCGAATTGGCCTGTACAAACTCGGCTCATGGATCGGGAGGAGCTTGTGCTTTCAAGGCAGCGATCCACCTGACTGCTGGAAGGACGGACGAGGGTCCTTAGGAGTGAAGGGCCCGACAGCTCACGGCAAGCCGGACCACAACCTTCCGTCACCCTCCGTCGCATCTTCCTGCTGTCAGATATTTCCTGCCTAGAAAGACAGCAGAGGCTCCTCGGATCGTTCATCACACATCCAGCCGACTCAGACCCGGGGAAGCTGCTTGCAGTTCGTCCGGATCCACGGTCACGACTTCTTGTCCTTGCGAAGATGCTCCATGTGCCTCGCCCGGGGGACGAGCATGTTCTCCCACAGGTGGGCCTCCCACCGAGAAGGCATCGGACGGGACTGGATCCGTCCCCGCCACCGGTAGTCCGAAAGGTCTCATAGCATTTCGTCGTGCTTCCTGCAGCTTGTCCGCCAGACTGGTAGTGCGCGGGGAAGTCGGTCGTGGCACTGTCTTTGTTGCCTCTTTCACCCCAACTCTGGCTTTCAAGGCCCTCACAGCTGCAATCGATTCTGCGTCCATGGGTAGGATAGGACCGGTCGGGACGCTGTGTCCATGCATCACCGAGGCGTTTGTAGTCGCCGCCGGGCTGCGGGCCCCCGGGCAGGCTTGAGGGCTGGCTGCCATGTAGGGATCCCGTCGAACTGCTGGAGACGTCGCATTGTAAGCTGGTGGGCCTGCTGCTTCCGCTGGGGTGGGTGCAGGCAATCCTGGTGGATGTCTGGAGGAGCTGCTCACCTGGCCAGCGGCAGCGGCATTGGCAAGGAGGATCTCGTCCAGCTGTCGTCCCAAAGTCGCTGAGTCCAATTCCATGGCAGTGTCTTCCTGCGTTCCCGCCAAGAGCTGCTCCCAAGCTTGCAAAGCCTGAGCTTGGTTGGTCGTCTTGGGCACGACTCCTTCCATAGCCCGACTCAGCACTTCTCTGGCATTGGCTTCTTGAGCTGTTGCCTCTGCTGTCTCCTGCTCCAAGCGGTCTAGGGCAGCGAGGTGGCGGCGGTACTCTTGCACGAACGAGTTTTTTAACTCCATTTGGTACGCTTCCCATCTTCTGGCTTTCTCCTGTACTTCCGTGTGTAGTCTGGCCACACGGCTTTCTGCCTTCCTCAAGAGATTCACAGCATCTTGGGCAACTTTGGCAAGACTGCTCTGCCCGGATTTCGGTCCAGGGGGAGCCCGCCGTTCTGAGACTATTGCCAGTCCCGTCTGTGCTGTCCAGTCCGTGTCGTAGGCAGGGAAAGCTCGAGGTTGGTTCTTGGCCTTCGGCGACGGAGTGTTTTTCCTCCACGTCTCGTATGCCCCCGACAAATATCGCCTGGATCCCCCATAGGAACCCCCATATTGGCCCCAACCTCGTTGATCTTCTTGCTCTCCTTCGGCTTCCCATGGCTTCTGTTCCTTCCGTCCTCGGCTTTTTCCCATAAGCGACCGAATTCGCAGAGCAAAAGCCGGGTTGGTCCCGTGGTGGTTGGCCACCCGTAGAGCCTGTCGATTTGACAGGGGAAGGCCACGGCGCTGTCGATCTCGAGCTGTTGACCGCCGCCTGCGCGCACGACGGTGCCAGTTAGGAGAACGTAGCGGCCGAGGAATCGCGGGCCGGGGAGCTAAAGACGCACGCAAGGCGTGCTGGGGCCACAATATTCCGAGCTGTTTCGGCGATTTGAGCCCTTAGGGTACTTATAACCTGACTTACTAAGTCCCATGATCCTCCAAGTAAGACGCTTGTGGAACAAGGGCGTTGAACTCAACTGCTGCAGCTGTGCAGATCTGCCATGCGCCGTTTTTCCAGAGAAACACCCGACAATCCATTTCGACAGTCGCAGGCCAAGCCAGACACCGATTCGATGGATGTAGTTCTCGATGTCATCGGGAAGGGTAGTCCTCGTTTTCATTCTATGCGCTTGCAGTACTGACTTTCCGCATGTCTTGTGTGATTTTAAAGCAAACGCATGCAGCTCTGAGGCTCACGCTGGATCACGAAGGGGAGTCCCGCAATATCAATGCCTCTTGCCGCGACGTCGGTGCAGATGAGGAATCGCACCTGTTTCTGAAGCTCGTCCCAGTGAACCCATGGCGCAGCACTCCACATTACTCACTACTGTTCAATCGCCCCAAGTCCGCAGCATCACCCTCTTTGAAGGACTCGAGGTTGGATCGTCGCTCGTCCTCACGAAAGCATCTGCCAACAGCCCCTCAGGCTCCTTCTTGCCGGAGGGGGGGGGCTCCTGATTGCGCATCCCTGCAAGGACGACGCAGCTGTAGGGATTCTCCTTGCCGGTTTCCATCTTGCCACCATAGGCCTCCCAAAGAAGCTCAAGCTGAAGGCCACTGGGATCTACGCGACTCACCGCGAGGCCTTGGTTCCACCCAGTCGGTTCATGTAGTCTTCGAGGTTGTTGCCTGTCATACGCAGTCTCGGCGTGGGCAGGAGAGACTTCGTCTGAGGCTGCTCACCATCCTTGCAACAAAAGACTCAATATCCGGGGATGAAATACTTATCATGCAATGCACCTGATGGATGTCGCATGTTGAAGACTTCAGACTCGTTTGGTCTTCGTGCTCGCTGACTTTTGCAGCTGCCACAACCCAACGCCGAGGCACAATCGACGTTCGTGCGGCAGAACACCAGGCATTGCGACCTGAATGGAACGAAGAGTATCGTGCTCATCGAAGCGAAACATGGTATACTGCAGTTAGTCATAGCATATTCTAGTTCTCCATAGTATACTATCGTATATCAAAGTTTACTTGTCGTCAATCATAGTACAATACTATGATTATGCTGTGTATCATAGTATGCGGTATTAGGCAATCCTGCACACAGTGTTGCTGAATGATCAAGGCCCAGGCATGTTGAAAGCATCAGCAAGCTTGACCACCTGGTGTGCGTCTCCGCTAGTTCGAACACATTTGCAAAGAGAGTACAGTTGGATGCCGTGCCATCTTCGGCTTCATCATCTTGATCTTCTCTGACATCTTCAACGCATCGGGATGGTTCCTCGGCTTTTGGGGAAAATGAGACATGGTATACTTTACACTATAAACAATGCATTGACTGACGTGAATTATCCTGTTTCCACTTTATTCTATCAAATCAATGCATATTACTGAGTATTACGTTATGTTACACGGTATACCACATTATCTTAGTGTTATACAATATAGATTTATACTACACTACATTGTACTCCATTTTATGATGCTGCTAAACTATACTGCACTGTACTATACTATATCTTACGATATAACATACTATATAATATACGAAATAACATACTGTATAACAAACGAACATACATACTGCAGGAGCATACTATATAACATACTGCACTATAATATACTATACCATAATATCCTATATTATTCTCTATATTTGCTGGCATTTTGAATTTCCATTGAAGACGGCTGGGCTTCGGGCCTGTCGATTTTCGACATAGTGGGCTTCGTGTGCACACCATCCAGAACCGGCTGCTCCTGCAACATCAAAAAAGAGTTCATGGCTTTAGGGTTTAGGGTTTCGGTTTCAAGCTTCAAAACTTTCAGGGTTTAAGGATTTGAAGTTTAGGGTTTAGTTCTTACAAGCCAGGGGTACAGTCTTTAGGGACCCGTGTGCTATTAATTGTGGAATCTATGTTTAGGGGCTCATTCTCGGCAAACCCCAGATTGCAAGGAAACAATTCAAGCAGCATCTTACCATGGAGAACGAAAACCTGTGGTAAGACTCTACGACAAAGTATACAAGCAACAGTTTTTTGCCGGGACATAGTAAGGAAGGTTATAAGTACCCTAATCGGAGCCTTAAGTATATATAGTTACCTTATTTATAACCCTAGTTACTAAGTCTCATGATCCTCCAAGTACGCCGTCAGCCACAGAAGCAAGTTTTATGCGCTCCTTGGGGGCTTTGGCTCGCACCGCGATCTCAGCATCGCTCCACTGCAGATCTTGATACCTCGTTTAGGGCTTACTGGTTCAGGGCTTAGAGTTTGCGGGTCAGGGTTCAGGGTTTAGGACCTTTTTAGGGTGCCTTCAAGAAGCCGCGGCAAGCTGCACAAAGCGAAGCTGTAGACTGCGAAGTACGCATGCATCAAGGCAGTCTCTTCGAGAAGCTTCGACCCGTCGAACATCTCACATCAGGTGTTCCTTCTGACTACCCTAAACCTAGGTTCCTGAGTAGCCCCTTTATAATAAGGCCACCCTCTCTGCTACTATTCGGTTTGAATACTGGGACCCTAAAATAAGAAGGACAAATAGCACTACTCAAGAACCTACTTGGAGGATCATGGGACTTAGTAACTAGGGTTATAAATAAGGTATCTATACTTATAACTCCAATTAGGGTACTTATAACCTTACTTACCAAGTCCCATGATCCTCCAAGTAAACCCTAAACCCGAAACCCCTAAAGATCCCTTATAGATCCCTTTAAGGAGCCCCTTAAGGAACCCTTTAAGGAACCAGACAGTCCTCCAGTAAACCCTAAACCATCAGGCTTCGGGGCTCCGGGCCCCAGCAGACTTCAATGAGATCGGTTTAGGGTTTAGGGTTTAGGGTTTAGGGTTTTTTTTTTTTGAACGCCTTTTTCCTCCTCGCTGGTTTGGTTGTTTAGGGTTTAGGGTTTAGGGTTTAGGGTTTAGGGTTTAGGGAGATAGTTGTGTAAGACCCCAAGGAAGTCTCAGGCCGCTGCGGATCAATGTAGAGCGCGACGTGGTGCACGGTTTCTGGGACGGAGTCCTCTCACGACAGCGTTAAGGGTTTAGGGTTCAGGGCTAAGGGAGGCTTCGAAGGCACTCAGTTCAAGCTATTCCGGGGTTCCTTGCCCTTGAGATCCACCCAAATGGGTCTCGATGTAATCTCTTCAATCATTTGCACCACCTCAGGCAGCAGGCAACGTGCTCGAAACATGCACAAAACGTGACAACACAGCATTGGGCCTCTGGAGTGTGAAGCGTGGCACTGAAGAATAGGGTCTGGACCTGTGCTGAAACGAAGGGGTTCATGGCTCAACATCGCAAGCAAGACATGATCAACCATAGCTGCCCAGAACACGAGTCACCGCGAATCGGTTGATGATCGAATTTGCAGCTGGGTAATAAAACCAACGTTCAAACGGTCGTCTCTGGCAATCTGAGGCACGCGGTCTCGCCGGCCACGCTTGATCTGCGCATTTAGGCGTGGAATCTCCTGGCATGTCGCACATCCAGCCACAAGTCACTCGCGATGGCTGCCTAACGTTGGCCAGAGCATTGGGGGCTTGCGAGTCTCTGGGCTCCTTTCGATCATCTTTCTTTTGCAGATCATCCGCTTCATCCAGCACCAGGAACTTCAGATGGGTGACATCCTTTCAAGGCTCCAGAGGGTCGGAAGGATCCAGGGTTTAGGGTTTAGGGTTTAGGGTTTATCCGATCTTGGGAGGGGTTTACTTGGACTGACGACTTTTCTGGGAAAACATTCCGACATTCGTAGAAGCTGAGGCGACAGGCCAGCTTGCCCCGGCGGACATAGTCCATCAGCTTCTGCAAGGTTCCGACCTCAAAGAAGAGTGAAACAATCAAGGCGTCATTTGGGACTGCCTGCGACAAAGATAATCCCACTTGTCGAGACCTCATGCACTCTGAGGCCCTTACGACGATGTCTACGCCTTCTTCCAACGCTCGAAACTGCTCCTTGCCAAGGTTCACTTGCCAAGGTTCACAGGACATGTGCCGCATGGAAAACGAGCAAAGAGCAGCAAAAAAATGAACACATGAACTCACAACTGCTTGTCCTGAAACAAACATCAACGGCCTTGCCTTCTCGTCGATACCGCCGACAAACAAGGTGATTCGGACAGTAGGGTTGTCCAGATACTTGTTGAAGGTGGTCATGCCTCGGGCGCCCGTTTCCACAGGGAAGTTTCGATCCTGTGATACGGCTAAGATATACCTCGATGATGTGCAAGGTGCGAGCTCATGCTTTGCTCCCGCAAGGAGCAAAATGATTGGTTTGAGGGCGAAAGTGTGAAGGGAAGGCTTCAGCTTGTGAACTACACGGTTTGCTTCCCGCATTGCTCAGACCACTAGGGGCCTGCTACGGCTATTCCGGGAAGACTTGAACCTGTCCTCTCCGTGTGCGACAAACTGCACGCTTCAGCCCACCGAAAATCATAGCGACATGAGAACCAATTCGACAAACCCGCCACCTCTACTTGGAGGGTCGGGGGACTTAGTAAGTAGGTAGTAAGTAGACTTATAAGTACCCTAAAAGGGACCCTAATTGGGGTTATGGTACTTATAAGTCCCTAAAATAACCAGTTACTAAGTCCCCTAAAGACCCTCCAAGTAGACTACCTGCTCTCCCGGTCATTGCAGCCGACAAGCATTTGTAAGTCTGCTCGGCCAGGTCCCTTGCAAAGACAGGGTCCACAGCTGAAGGCACCCTCAGCCCATCTCCAAAGCCACAAATTTAGTCAATATCTAATATTAAAACCAAAAGATATTGCAGGAACCACATCTCGCATGTGCTGACATCTTCACGTAACACCAGCACTTGTGAACTGGCCTTGTGGGCTCCAGGATCATACAAAGGGGCGGTCGCTTGCCTTGGCTGCAATGCCTAGTGATTTTTGTGTCAAAAGCAAATGCTGTCATGATGCCAACGTGCGAAAACGGAAAATGTCAAGGATCTGGCCTTTGGCCTGCGACGTTCCCTGAGGAGTATGCGTGGGATCGATTTCACCTCACAGTCCAAATCGATATTATGTTGCTGTCAGAGACTGGCGGGTGTCTGCAGACACTAAATTTGATAATTCTTGCCGGCAGCATTGGCCTAAAGAGCATGCATGCGCTGTACCTCAAGTAGCGTCACCGCCCACGTTCCCATTCAACCCAACGGCTGCCTACAGGAGTGTAGCCCTCAACGGGGTACTCCATCGGGCCATCAAATCTCGCTGCAGCCATGAAGCCCTGGCAGCGCTCAGTTTGGGATTGAAGGCTTTAGGGTTTAGAGTTTAGGGTTTAGGCTTAGGGGTTTAGGGTTTAGGGTTTAAAGTTTAGGCTTTAGGCCCTGGTTTAGGGCTTAGGGCTTTGGGTTTAGGGTTTAGGGATTAGGGTGGCTTACTTGATCGCTATCCCACATTGAAACACTTTTCTCGGAACATCAACTACATAACAACATGTCCCGAAATGATCTAGGAATTCCCTCTTCTAGAAGATTTACTTTTCTATACTACAATAAAATATAGTACGTGTTACTATACTATAAGGTATCTGGGCCCTAGGCTCCTGCCATCCATCCACAGGGGAAAGGCGGAAAGGAAGGAACACTGAGAATCACTTCAGAGTGCGCCTTTCCACAGATGTGGGGCTTCAGGCCTATCCGCTGCATGTCTGGGGGTAACCTGTCGGCAAGATGGCAGCACGAGCAAAGGAGCACGGCGTCACTCGTGTAAACGGCACGTACTCGAGGAAAGCACTTGTAGGCCACTCCCAGATCTCTCCCGTTCTTGCAAAAGGAGACCGTCTGCTTCTCGCGATCAAGCAAACAGCCTTAGTTTCCGACATATCACGTCCAGGTGCTGAGGCAGTCGGGGATCGTTGGGGCAGATGTTCCTGTCATTGCCATGATACTGCCAGTATATCTGATTTTGTTGACCCTGCACAGGCTGCAAGAGCTACGCTCTCGGCGCACTGCTTGCGAGTTGGCAGGTTCCCTGCCCCCTAACCGGGTTTCTGAGAGGCAGGCCGATGATGTCGCCTTCCTCGAAAGCTTCACCATAGTCCTTGCAGGGGCACATGCTCTGCACTAAACCCAGAGACTCCAATATCCCTTGATCAAGGAAAAATATACCTCAAGTTCGAGGAGGATCCCTAATATGATGTAAGGTATATTCCTTATGATCCCGTTATAGATCCCTTTAAGAAACCCTTTAAGTGTCAAAGCAGCAAATAAGGTGGAAAGCTGGTATTGCAAAACGACTAGACTAGCCGGTCCTCAAACTTGCGATTCCAGCTCTTCTTGCCGGTGGAGCCGAAGCCAAAACCTTTTTAGGGTTTAGCTGGTGATTTAGGGTTTAGGGTTTCGGGCACCAAGCATCCCAACCTCACTCACCTGCCCTTTTCCTGCTTGTGGGAGCAGGGAAGCGCTGGGATGCTGTGGACAGTGGGAAGTCCATCGATCGGACTCTACTCAAAGCCCCTTACAGCAACCCTTCAAGGAACCCGTAAAGGAATACTAAAGCCGAAACCCAATAAGCAATAGTTTTAATAGGTATTGTTACCATTCCTATTCAAAGCCAAGTCTTGGCCCAGGGCTCTTGTCATCGATTCCAATTTCCAACTTGGCAAATCCGGCACTCCAACCTGGCGATGGGGAAGTGGAGTTCTTTTTTTCTTCGGGAAAACTTAGCTTTTGCGTGAGCAAAATTGTAAGCCGTAGAATCATAGAGGTTATTGGCCATTCTATGGCCTCATCCTGTATTTGGAAGCGCCTTCCTCTCCGTCTATTTGGTACTACTGGCAGCAGCCCGCTCGCCTATTCTCACCAAGCCTTCCACGACCTTTCAAGCGAGGCACAAACATGGTCAAAAGAAAGGGCACTTCGAAAGAGGCGGCAGAAAGTAAGAGCAGGCCTCCACCTCGAACATGTAGCAGCCCTGCATCACCTCAATGGTCGCACGAATCCTCGGGCGGGGGCTCTTGAAACGAAGGCTGAAGCTCCTGTAGCTTTCGAACTTTCATGTGCTACCGGTTGAGGGCATAAATCCTGCATTACCTTAAGGACCCTAAACTATGGGAATTATGGTATATTCCTTATTATGGGTAATGCAGGATTTGGGATTTATATCATCAACCGTACCCGGGGTGCTCTGAGAAAAGGAAAAGCTGAGGAAGCGTCCCGTTCCATCGCTTGTCATCTTCACTTTTGCACTCCAAACCATCTTCTGTCACGAGCACGAACATGTCCTCCAGGGCAACACAATCCGGAATTAGAACCAGAGGCTGCTACCCAGACGCCTGCCAGCAGGTCTGCAAGAACTATGCCCTAAACCCTAAACCCTAAACCCTAAACCCTGTATGCCGAAAAAGCCCTATAACCCCTCAACCAAGCAAGCCCCGCCCTTGCTCTGGGCCCCCGGTGTTTCGAGAAGCGGGCGATCACAGTCCTAAATCCGAAACTTTGAATCGCCCCACTAAATTACGAACCCTGAACCCTAAAGACCCTAAACCCTACACCCTAAACCCTAAACCCTAAACCCTAAACCCTAAACCCTACACCCGAATTCTAAGCCGACGGGGCCTTGTCGTTTAAGTTCAGCTCGCACTTCAGATTCGAGGCCGCCGCCTTCCTGCAAGAAGCGGAAGACGTCGAGGTCGGAGGTTTAGGGTTTAGTGGTTTAGGGTTTAGGGGTTTAGGGGTTTAGGGGTTTAGGGTTTAGGGGTTTAGGGTTTAGGGGTTTAGGGTTTAGTGGTTTAGGGTTTAGGGGTTTAGGGGTTTAGGGTTTAGGGGTTTAGGGTTTAGGGTTTAGGGTTTAGGGTTTAGCGGTTTAGGGTTTAGGGTTTAGGGGTTTAGGGGTTAGGGTGTTGAATAAAATGAATGACATGCCCAAAAAATCGCCTGGTGCTGCATTTCCCGCGCAAAGTCTCGTGGACGATCTGGAGGCAAGGCAAACCTCAGCCCCCGTTTCGGTCCGCTTTCGTCAGTACTAACACATTGCAACACACACGTCCTATCTGCATTGAAACAGGAGCCCAGGCTTAATTCTCAGAGTTTCCAATAGTTCATTATGTTGATCCGAATCAAACTCACTTCTCGGGTCAAGACCGAACGCACCGGTCTTTCCACTTCCAGTTTCAGCCGCCACCAGTACATCACCTTTTCATGCAGCGGCATGCCACTGCGCTTCTGAACCCCAAAACCCAAACCCTGGTCAAGCACAATATTTAAAGTGCTTCCCCAGTCCCAACCAAACTCACAGCAACGGCCTCCACCAAGAATAAGAGGGATGGCCTGAAAGACCCACCGAGGGCGTGCCGAATGTCAGAATTGCAACACATGTGCTTGAGCATGCCGTGCAACTCAACCCCACCTCTTGCTGCACAGGAGTGGGAAGCAGCCAGTCGTCCTGAACGTCATCTCGCCACGAGAATTGCAGCTTGCAGACGGCAGATGTGTTTCATGTCTGATGTCGCAATCTGCTGCCTCCTCGACTGCTTGGATAATTTCAGGGCAAATTCCCAGCTCTTCAAAGGCACTCATCAGGCTTGGGACCTGCACCGCAGGTGGAGTTGAACACATCTTCATGCAATGACACCTGCGACGCAACTGCTGAGTTGCCCGACCAGGAATGGCGAGAGGCCAATCCCATACGTTAACAGCAAACATGTTGAAGTTTCTCAGAGCCGAAAACGTTCATCAAACCGATGCACCAGGAATGGCGAGAGGCCAATCCCATACGTTAACAGCAAACATGTTGAAGTTTCTCAGAGCCGAAAACGTTCATCAAACCGATGCACCGCTTTCACAAGTACACATGGTTGTGCGGAAATTCACACCTACAGAAGACCTGGTGGGTTTTCAGAATATCATTGTGGCACAGTTAACAATGCGGCTGATCCTGGCTGCTTCTCTCATCACATGAATCATCATCATCATCATCATCATCAGATGTTGCGGAAGGCTTCGAGAAGCCTTGGGCATGCTGGGACATCAGGGCCCACGGCTACGAAAGCTTGGGCTCGAACATGCAAATTTGCACCATGCAAACCCCATGGGGAGAATGGTTTTGTTCGCACAGCGGACACAAGCTGTACCTGGCTGAAAACAAAGGAACCCATCCAAACAAACATTTGTGCCGAAACACTCGCAATCCCGGCTCCCAACTCAACAAGTTAGTGTCCATGCTGTCTGGACCCTCCGGCATGAATAAGATCAAGAAAGTCAATCAACATGAAGAGCGAGAGAAGGAGGACTCTTACTTCATTCCGAAATCCGGACGCTTATTTGAGGCACGCTTCTACAAATGCTGAAACAAGAGTAAAGAGCGACCACATCATGCCGTGTGGGGGTGTTTGGGAATGGTACTTGCTTTGGAGGTTTGGGCAAATGCAATACTTCCAAGCAGAAGCACTGAACCTGGAAAGAACTGCTTATGTCACAACAACTTTGAACTGGCAACCCTAGCCTCACGGTGCGATCATTCTGTTTCGCCCAAACTGTCTGCGGGGTAAGGCCACGCCCGTTCTTTGTCAGAACTGCTGAACACTGGCTTCAGAAGCAATGCCGATCGGTGATGATTGGCAAAGAGGATTGATCTTGAGGCCATCGAAACAACCAGAGTCAAGAGACCTGCAAAGTTGCTGCGGCCTTCCAGCTGCAAAACGAAGGACTAGCAGGATTTGACAATGTAAAGCGTTTGGATCGCTTCCGCCCGAAACCTCAACTCAAGCTCCTAACCCAAACGCAATTCGAAGGGAAAAGCTTCGAGTGTCGGTGCGGAATTTTTTGTTTTTCGTTGCCAGCGTGGAGAAGTCTCGCGAACTTCCGCACGAAATGCAAGACGTTTGGATCTGTGTCCTCTTTCTCTCACCACTGCATGATCCGCAGCGCTGACAGGTTGAGACTGGTTCACTCGAAGTCTCGGTGAACGACGCATCGCCTCCTTGCTGGCGCTGGCTGACATCAACACATGCAACAGCAACAGAAGGGCAAAGAGAGCAATAAAGGGACTAAAACACAACAGAGGCGTTTGATGGGCAAAATAACAACAGACAGGCAAGCTGCGAGGAGTGAAAAAGAAAGAAGCTCTGACCTTACGGATCAGCTGCTTCTTGTGGGACTCGCTGCACAAGCATCGTTCAAGCAGTCGTCGTGATTTCAAGTGGCATTTTTTTTGGGCGTGGGCGGGCCTCAACGACAGCAAGTTGCTGCACTCGGTCCCAGCAAGAACTACAAGAAAGCCAAGATAAAATGCAAAATGAACTAATAGCTGTACAAAGTGAAACAGAAGCTGCGACGTACAGACTTAGCCGGCAAGGTCGCCCAGCATGAATTAAGTGCACGCGAGCCTGCGGATCACTGGCCCTGCGCCCTGTAAATTCTGGGTCGCGCAATGGCCAACATAGAAATTGGCCCTGCTGCCCGTAAACATGGGTAGCGCAATGGCCTGCGGATCACCGGCCCTGCTCCCCATTGAGCCTGGGTCGCGCATTGGCCAACATGGAAATTGGCCCTGCTGCTTGTGATATGATAGCGCAATGGCGTGCCCAGAGGCACCGACAACAGACCATAATGCAGTCCGCCATATCTTCACCATCGGCCCTGCTCCCCGTAAAGTTTGGGTCGCGCAATGGCCAACATGAAAATCAGCTGTGCCGTCCGTAAGCATGCGTACGGCGCACAGCCGAGAGCGACTAAGCCAAATGTGCAAAGGGGAGAGCGCTCCTTCCCACAATGGAGCGCAGGATGCACAGGGCAGCCGCCCAGGAACAATGCACACAGCCGCAAGGTCGAATGACCAGGGCACGACCCCAAGCGAACATGGTCGCTGGCACCACAAAGAGGGCTGCCGTTACATCACACGCAAGAGCCCGTCCCAAGAGCAAATTCCCGAGCCCAGCTTCCCACAAGAGTGGGTCTCGCAAGGGCAAACACGCTTGGGGGCTCGCCATGCGCCCTGCGAGCAAGCGCTGCGTCTGCAAACATGTTATCAGGGCGGAAAAGAAGGCTCCCATGGGCGAGTGTGCAACCCGAGCCCAGCTTCCCACGCGTGGGTATCGCAAGGGCCAAGGACATATAACAGGTGGGGGCAAACAGAGCCTCCCCCCAGAAGGGAAATGGCCCCGATTATGCAAAATTGCCCACGCCCAGCTTCCCACCATGGTGGGCCTCGCAAGGGCAAGGGCTAGTCGGTGCGAGAAGATTCCATGTAGTGTGGGACGCAAACCGGTCGCAGACGCGTAAGCGGGAAACCGCTCAACGACTCCATGGAGAAGTAAGGCAGTCCCCTCAGTCCAGGCCATCCCACCGCCCAAGGCTGCATGTCAATTAGTGCAGACTGGATGGCCGCAGCGTGGAAGAAGTCAGAGCCCTCGTAGAGCCCAAGGACCATTCGATAGGCGTGGCGGGACGCCGAGGCCAGCACCACTAAAGCCGCCAGATCGATTTGGACAATGGTGGCGCGCACTTGAAAGCCAAGCCGCACGATCAATTGGAAATCGGTCGCAACCCTGAAGCCATAGAGAGTGCGCTGCGCCAAGTATGCAGAGACACGGCTGTGATACTCTGCAAACTGCTGCCGAAGAGCGACGCCCGCAGCCTGTCGCTCCTGCGTACCAATGGCGCAAAGCAACTGCCGAGTGGCAGCCGATGGCGGGGCCCCAAAGAGCACCGGCATCGAATGCACCGACACGTACGTGATGATGGGCGCCACCAGATTCTCCGGAATCGTGGCCATGGCTTGTCATCTACCCTGTGCTACAAAGGCCGACACGGCAGCGAGGATGTGGATGGGTAGCACCCCAGGCGGCAGAATGCACGCCAAACACTGGCAAGGGCGGGGTTCACAATGACACAGGCCACCGGGCAAAGAACCCTAACTAGGGACAGGGTCGAACCGGGCGCCACCGCACAGTTCCCAGGCTTATCCAACCGCTTGGTCGGCGTCTTGCGGCGGGTCAGTCGGAGTTGCTGGCTCCCAGCGAAGCAGAGTCGAATCCAAGAACGGCGGACGAAGCCGCGTGATAGGGAGTTCGGCAAGCTGTTCCAGAGGAAAGTAGAGCCGGCGCGCCAGTCCGGGCCAACGAACGGCATAGGGCTGCATAGCCGCGACGGCTTGCCTGATGGCCTCATCGCGAAAGAAAGCAGTGCCCTCGTAGAATGCAAGTACACATTGACATGCGCGCCGCGACGTAGAAGCCCATGCAAGGAGGGCCACGAAGTCGACCTGTAAGATGGTAACTCGCACCTGGAATCCGAGTCGAACGATCATCTGAAAGCTCGTCTCTACCCAGATTCGCCTGAAAGTGCGCCGCACCAGGGAGGCAGAGACACGATTTTGATACTCAGCCAGCTGCCGCCGCAGGGCCACCTCAGCTGCCCGTCGTTCGTGAGGGTCCCTCATGGACAGCAGGCGCCCGGCAGCGTTTGATGGGGGGGCACCAAAAATCAACTGTAGGTAATGCCATGACAGATCCTGTAGGACTCGAACCATGAGATTTTCAGGAAGCGCGGCCATTGCTAGTCAGTGATCCGGCGGAAGTGGGCAGGATTCTCCATGTGTTCGTCGTTGAGCGTATATAAAAAGGTCCATTCGCCCGATTCGTAACGCCGATCCAGTTGCGCTTTGGTGAACCAATACGTTTTGGAGGCCTTATGATGGTGGGTACGAGTCGGTAGCCCAAAAAGGGGTACCGCAGTCCTTCCGCCAGTCCCCCTCTCTCCCGGAACTGTCGGGCCGCAGCTACCCACTCCGCGAAATTAATTCCTGCTCCAAGTGTATGTGATTGATACTGGACGAAAGGGAGCATCGGCACATCTGCGAAGTTCCTGCGCACAATCTCCGCGAAGCGCCTATCTAAATGCTGCCCCAGTAAGAAGAAGCGCTCGGGATGCCACATGGTGATCCGCTTGGGTCCTGGGAGCCAGACGGCCATCGCCTGCTGGAGGTCGTAACCGTGTCCACTGGCTAACCCGCGCCAGTGCACCGGCTAACAGTCCAGCCGGCTGCAAGCTAAGCGCCGCAGCCGGCTTCAATCCCAGCGCTTCCTCCGACAGTGGTAAGTAAATGCGAAAACGCCCCTGGTAGACTGGTGGGTATGCAAAGTTGTTTGGGTCCACTTGCGGATGGTGTACAGCCACCACCCCCCGTTCCCAGGCATGCCGGATGCGGCGCCCAACCTGCTCCTGCAATGGGCAGATTTCGCGTAGCTCAAAAGTCGCCGACAGTCGCACTCCCATATGGTCATGCCTGCCCTCATTGGCGGCTTCTGATCACGATCTCTAAACACCTCCATGGACGTAGTTGTCCGGACGGTCAACTAGCCTCCGTTATATCAATAGGAGCACTTGGATCGGCAGAAGGGCACTGCAGTACTGCAGTGGGGAAAGGCGTCGTCCCGGTCCCCCCAGGGCCATAACAATGAAACTGCCGTCCCTGGCCAAGGGAGAGGACGTGGTGGCCTGATCGGCCTGTTGCCATTGCGCGGCGATCTCATCCACTAGTAGCCACCACCAAACTTGTGGTCTCGCCAATTCTCTCC